TCGGCTTGAGCGTCATTTGGCGCTATTCGTACGTCGGTACCCTAATGCCCAGGCACGCTAGCAACTATTTAGGTACCTATCGCCGCTAAATGGTTCTCGCAACCCGCATGACGTAACTTTGGACCACCAAAAGACCCAAGCAAATAGGAACAGTTGGCCTTGTTTGCGGGTTGATCGGGATCGAGTTTCGATGCCTCAAGCGAGCTCCTCGCCTTTCGTCAATTTACACATGGGAGCACATTTAGCCGTAGCCCGACTTTGAGTACTCACCATGGCGCCCTTTTGCTCAGATCCGCGGCAGATTGTCATTGCCCTGGAGCCCCGTCGACGAATCGAGCTGCTCAAGCTTGTGGACGACATCATCTTTTCCATGACCGCGCAGCTCCAGTCCAAGCCGGAGGAGCTGGGGTCAGTATCCGTGGAATCAAGTATACACGGAGGGAGTGGCACACCGCAAAACGAAAAGACATTCGATAGCCCTTCCCCGACTGGTGATGCCAACAAAACCGAAACTTCCAGCGAATCCATCACATTATTTGATGCGGAAGACACGGAGTTTGGCAATGCTGCCCCGGCCAATGGAAGTAAGAAGAAGTTTAGTCCGTCGAATCCGTTCAAGAATGTCAAGGTCGGTGTGCCGTGGAAGAACAACCCCAGCGCCCCGAGCAAGACGACAAAACGGGCCGAAGAGGTGCAGAGCGCCGCGCGTCAGTACATGGAGGAATGGGAGCACGAGTTTGTACCCAAGCTCGAGGAAATTGTGCGCGTCAAGGACAATGACAAGATTACTGCCGAGCGCAAGATACGACGCCAGGCTGTGCAGATGAATGAAGAGAACGAGCGCGCCGAGAGCAAGCGTCGCGCCGGCTCGGACGAGGCCCGAGACGAAGAGGCGGCGTTTGCCGTGATGCAGACGCTCTACCCGCCCATACCGACGTCGCTGACCGAGCTCTCGGTGCACGACCGCCGCGAGGCTATCAGCTGCGTCCTGCTGCTGTTGCTCTCCACGGGCAAGTACTCGGCGCACTCGCGCGCCCTCATGCTGACCCTGACGTCGTCGCTCGACATCCCGCACGCGTTCCTCAACAACGAAGAGGCGGCCATTGCGGAGTCGCTGATTGAGCAGTCGACGGCGGACAAGGGGAAAAAGGAGGCCATGTCGGCCGACGCCGAGGCCGCCAAGCGTCAGCAGGACAACAAATTTGGTCGATACTGGAAGGTTGGCCTCGCGTCCGTCGCGGGTGCCACGCTGATTGGCGTCACGGGCGGGCTGGCGGCGCCGCTAGTTGCAGGCGCGGTGGGAAGTATCCTCGGCGGTGTTGGGTTGGGAGGTGTAGCAAGCTTTCTCGGCATCTTCTGGATGAATGGTGCCCTTGTCGGCGCTCTCTTTGGCGCCTATGGAGCCAAGATGACGGTACGCATTGCGACTAAGATTCACACCACGAAGGAAGTCTGAGAACTAATAGGAATTGCAGGGTTCTATGATGGACAAGTACGCTAAAGAGGTCGAAGATTTCAAATTCATTCCGCTCCACGAGCCGCCCGAAGCCACGGACCGCACCCCCAGCGCCAAGGGCCGCCGTCTGCGCGTCACGCTCGGCATCAACGGCTGGCTTAACTCGGAAGACGACATCACCAAGCCGTGGGAGGCGCTGCCGGCCGACTCGGAGGTCTTTGCCCTGCGCTACGAGATGCAGACGCTGCTCGCGCTGGGCACCGCGCTGGGGGACCTTGTGCAATCGTTTGCGTGGAAGGCTGTCAAGGCGGAGATTATCAAGCGCACCGTGCTCGCGACGCTCTGGGCGGCTTTGTGGCCAATTCAGGTATTTGCTGTCGCCTCCAACGTCGACAACCCCTTCAACCACGCGTCGAATCGCTCCAAAAAGGCCGGCCGGCTGCTCGCCGACGCGCTCATCAACAGGGTCCAGGGCGAGCGGCCCGTCACCCTGATCGGCTACTCGCTCGGCGCTGCCGCCATCCACGCCTGCCTGCAGGAGCTCGCCGCGCGCCGCGCCTTTGGTCTCATCGACACCGTGGTCCTCATGGGCGCGCCCGCGCCCTCGGACCCCGCCCACTGGCGCACGCTTCGCGCAGTCGTCTCCGGCGCCATCTTCAACGCCTACTCGGAGAACGACATGATTCTCGGCTACGTCCACCGCATGCACAGCCTCTCCCTCGGCGTCGCAGGCCTGCAGCCTATCCGCGGCGTCGCCGGCGTCGAGAACCTCGACCTCAGCGACCGCGTCAGCGGCCACCTGCGCTACCCGCACCTCATCGGCGGCATTCTGCGCCGGTGCGGTTTCGCGGGCGTTAGGGTCGACGAGCCGATTGAAAAGGACGACGTCATTCTCCTCAAGGACGAGTACGCCGCCGGGCACGCGGTCAACGTGGACGGCACCACTATTGCGCCCGCCGGAGACGAAAAGGCGGGTGATGCCAAGGGAGATGTGGAAAAGGTGGCCTCGCAGACGGAGAGGCTACAGCTAGGTATAAAGGAGCAAGAGGTACTGCCGCCGCCGCCGCCGAGGCCGAGTCACAAGGCCGGCGAGGAGGAGCCGCCCAAGATGCGTAGAAAACCAGTACCGGCGCCGTCGCCGTCCAAATCACAGGACGACGACGATGCTAAGCCAATTAGCATGATGGACCTTGAGTAGTATTATAGAGAGACGACTCGGAAAAGCTGGACATGGGTCCGAGGCGACCAACAAGCGAGATAACCGTCTAGATGAAAGAAAATCTACGAATGAATAGAAGACTTGGGGATTTCATCCGCAAAGAAGAGCATCTTTTAATCAACAACTCAAATAACACAGCGGTTGATTCTTGTCTGACGCACCGTCGATCAAAAGAACAAGGACAAAAGGAGACACTGACGGGTATATCATGCAAGGAAAAAGGCAACTAATATTCTTCTGAAAAGGACAAGATAGACTGGCTTGATGTAAAAACAACAAAATAAATAACAAAGGCTTTATAGAAGAGAAAAAAGGCCTGCTAATTTGCAAAACCCATTATTGATCAGGAGCTGAGAGACAAAAAAACAAAACGAATGACCAGGCCTTGCCGGCGTAGAGGTGTTTCAGTCACCCCAATTTGGACAACAGAAGCGTCTCGATACGGAAATGACAGCAAGAAAAGAGCTGAAAGGATTAGTCAAGAAAACTCGGACAGCCATGCAGCGGCCCTATTAGATATTTCTCCTGCAGCAGAGGATGTCGTCAAGCTCAGTTGGTAAAATGCAGCAGGGCGCGCATCATGCTGCGTACATGCTCGCATCGCCATTTCTTTATATGGTATCATGAAAAAGCCCGCAAAAACATAATACAAGGAAAAGGTAGACGGAATGTCCTGTAGGGTATTGGGAAATTGAAATATAAATCAGTCGACAACACTGGGGGTGACAGCGCTGGCTTGAGCGCTGTTCTTCAGTGCAGGGGCGTGGGTTCCCTCCATATTGCCAGTGAGCTCGGCGACGCGAGCCTTGATGCGAGCAACGCGCGACTCGATAGCTATTTACCAAGTTAGTGTCAAGTAGAAATGGGGATGGACCAGCTACACGTACTCTCCTCGCCACTGGTTTCATCATCTGCCTCGGTAGCGCTCTTGCTTGGCGGCATGCTGCGGTCGCGCTCGTCAGTTTGGCGCTGAGAAGCACGCTCAGCAGCATTCTTGCGAATTTGTGCCCATCGATCCTGCACACCCGGGCTGGCTATGCGAGTGAGTCCGTTGCTGCCAGTATCATCACCTTGCTGTTCGTGATGCGCGACAGCCGGGGGTGTAAGCACATCTTCTTCCACGTCCTCGGGAGCAAATGCGGGTTGGTCAGCTAGAGGACCCTGATCGAAGCGAGAGAATTCGGTCTTGCTTTCGACAGCCATATCGGAGGTTGCAAGCTTGTCTGCTTCGGTGTCAGGCTCCGGCAGAATTTCCAGAGTTGGTTCAGTGAAATGCTCTGTCGGGACAGCCTGCTCAACAGGCTTCTCAGCAACAGACGTCTCAGCAACAGGTTCGGGATCCTTGCTCCTAGTCGCAGCGGCAGCAGCAGCGGCGTCTTGCTTAAACATGCTGTTCAGCTGGGCAGCTGCGTTGTCTGGGACTTTCGAGGAACGATTCTTGCGGAACAGCTTGCGAAGGCCACCCTTCTCTTTAACGGGCGACATCGGCTGAGTCTCAGCCGGCTTGGGAGCAGGGGTGGGCGCTGAAGCCGGAGGAGTGGGAGCGGCCACGGGCTGCTCATCCTTCGGGGGAGGAGCTGGAACATTCTCGGCCTGTTCTTCCTTGGTCTCCTCGACTACAAGAGGAGCGACCTTGCTTTCCTGAGGCTCAGCCGATGTGTCTCGAGGCCGGGATACCTCATCCTGGACCTCATCGGGGTGTGCTGCCTGAGCCTTCTCGGTGAATGCAGGAGAAGAGGCTGATTCTTCGACGGGGGCCGCAGGGACGGGCTTTCTTTCCAGTGCCTTGATACTAGCGTTGGATACTTCGGTGCTACCATTAGAAGCAGCCTCGTGGGAGTGTTCTGCCTGAGAAGGAGAGATGGAGACGCCTCGGCCAGCGTTGCTGTTAGAAAGGTACGCGTCCTTTACGGCTCCCTTGTCATACTTCTTGACCCACTTCATGGCAGAAGAGGCCTCGCCAACAATGGGCGGCTGAAGATCAAAGATACTGTTAGTCTTGTCACCCAATACCTCCTCATCAGTGCGACCACGTCGAGTAGCGACAGGCTTGTTTCCAGACTCTTGAATAGCACGTAGCTGAGCTGCCTTGGCGGCAATTTTGGCCTGGGTGTCACTACCGACGTTGGTGGTGCTTCCTCCGCTAACAGCGTGTTCACCTCTCCTGAGAGAGTACTTGTTGACAGACTTGCGACGCGAAACAGTGCGGCTACGCTTGGTCCAACTGAAGAATCCCTTCTTCTCAGCAATGTACGCGCCTTCCTGGGGGTCGGGGGCCGCCCCGGCGATTAGCTCTTCCATGACCAGCCATGCACCGTTGTGAACGGTGGTTTCGAGAACGGCACATCGACCAAAAGCGGCCTTTCTCTCACTGGTCTCTTCGGGAGCGAGACTGCTCATCCAGACCCACCAGAAAGCATCATCCAGATCAAAAGGGGTGATGCTAGCCAGCTCACCAGGCTCCAAATCTTTGTCGGATTCCAGACGGGGTTGATGTGACTGGGAACTGTGCTGCCGCTGGACGTCAATGGGAGGCAGAACCTTGTCTGGGGGAACAAGTGTGTTGGTTTTGGCAGAGTCGTCGACAAAGCCGGTGGAGAGGAAGTCGGCCCAGGAGGGCGTAGTCGGACGAGCATTATGAGCGGAAGAGGAGGGCATGTTGAGCATGCTTTTGCTGGGACCAAAGGTCTGCGGAGGGCGCTTGACCGGGACAGCACTCTCCTCGTAGTCATCCTCCTCAGTCAGGGCGCTTGCGAAGCCAATGTCCTCGAATCGCGACCAAGACGCATCACGGAGGCTGGTGGAATGCTTTGCGCTGGAAGCTTGAGACTGGTTGGCAGCGGAAATTGCCTTGAGGACTCGTCGACATTCCTCGCTGAGGGCTTCGGTAGCGTCGTCAAAGTCGGAAAGCTTGCGAAGAGCAATATCAGAATCGCGGTACTCGAATTTGCTGGCACGCCGAAGCAGCGCAAAGGGAGTGGGCGAAACGGAGTCGACAATCATGACGAGCTTATTAGTACGGGAAACAAGCATGTCGGCGGCCTTGGGAGGATACTCGGTTTCGTTTAAAAGTTTCTGGAGAGACCGGGGAAGCATGGTGATGCCAGTCAGTTCCTGCTCGGGGGAAAGCGATCGCAGATATGCGAAGAAAAGGTGAGTGGTGGCATCGGCAGCCCTGATTAACCGTCAGCATGATATAATGAGAAATAGTTGCTTCCGGATGTGAGATGCTGACTTTTTCCAGGCCTTGTAGCCTCCATCAAATCCATCGCCCGTGTCCCTTTGCTCAAACGCCCACCAGGCGGCCATACGGGAGAGTTTCACACCACTGAGGCCGTTTTTCTTGCCATGGGCGGCGATGGCAGCGACAAGCTCGAAGAAACTGAAAATGATATTTTGCCTCGAGTCACTCTCAACACTGATGGGAATAAATGTTTTGAAAGAATCTCTGGCGAGCTTAGAGTCTGTGGGGGGGATTGTGTTAGCACTATGCCAGATGGAACTTATGGCGCGGGAACTTGCCGAGTTCGCCAATCTTGAACAGCTCGTATGCATCCCATGACACGACACCACCCTGAAGGCGACTCCAGCACCATTTCAGTACCGAAGCGAGCACCTGAATAATTGAATTAGTGGCTTGGCCATCTTGTTCATGCATTTATTGGGAGGCACACCATGGGCTCTGCGATGCGAACTTCTTGCTGGAGCCTTTCGCCATGGATCGGCGCATCGAGGCCATCCTTGCCAAAAAAGTTTCGAATAAATGTTCGTACGCCGCTGGGGTTGGAAGTCGGTCGGAAAGGCAGGAGCAAGAAAGGGTGGTCGAGGCCTGTAACAGCACTCAGTTAGAGCAGTGAGACAACAAGCGGCATGGAGGCGGCGGTAGCACATAGCCAGGGACGCGATGCAGCGTAGCGTTTGACGTACCTCGCGACTTGATTTCCTGTGTACAGCATCGAATTAATTCGTCAATTTCGTCGGGCTCAACCGAGGCACGCGTGTAGGCGTCATCCCATCGGGGCTTGACGGGGAGGGAGCTGGCGAGGTCGTTGTGGGCATTTTTCTTTTTCTGGCGAGCATCTCGTGCCTTGTGGATGCGGGAGAAGATTCCCGGCATCTTGAGGCAGCACGACGAAGGTCGTGGGGAGCGGCTCGAGCTGGAGGAATCCGTGATGAGGCGGCGCTGATTGCAACAGCGCAAAGCAGGATCAAGGTAGGAGAGGTGGAAGCCTAACGCAGGGTTGGATTGAAGTGAAAGCCGGAGAAGCAGCGAAGAGAAGGGACGGGAGAAAAGACGGGGAAAATCGGTTGGCTAATGGGAAAAATGAGAGGCTAGGAAGCAAACAGAAGAGAAAGAAGTTTCATGCGACAGATGTGTGGTGCGATGTGAAGTTGATACGCCAACGTCTGGGACCAGGAGAGAGGGACAATAAGATAGGGGACGTGTAAGTGGTTGGAGACGTGCGGAGGGCACGTTTGGGGAGACGCCCAATAGATGTGAAAGAGGCGGCAGCGAAGGCTACAAGCCAAGGAGGAAAGATTGGCAACGGCGATGCATAAACGACGGAAGATGAATTAAAGAGCAGCCCGATTCGAGGACAAGGAGAGGAGGAACCCGGACGGCTAGATAGTCAAGAGTGAACAGAGGGATAGAGAGCTGAAGAGCAAAAGGAAAAGGGAAAGGCGGGCGCTCACGTTTGGAAAAAGGGGAGAGCCTAGAGAGTGAAGAGGGGGACGAGAGCAAAACTACCTTACGGCTAGCAATTGTCGGCAGAGCAGCAAGCACATCATGCAATTTCGAGGTAGGGAGAGCAGACGAACAGGCGCACACACACAGATACCCCGTCCCATCGCTGGTTACGGAGTAATGTCAGTACTTATTACCTAGGTAGGTAGCTACACGGACACCTGAGTGAGCGTGACGAGAGTTGGCGCCAAAGACCATTGCTCGAGACTGCCTTCGGTCGGCTCAGGGGTCCCAAGATGGGCCAACATTTTCAAATCCACCAAGCGGGGAGATTGAGGGGGCATATCAGGGCCTAATCCGTAGTGTTAAGATTGAGATGGGTCATCGCTTTTTTTTTTGCTGGCCAAGCGCGTGCATTGAGATACCTATGTAGAGAAATATAGAAATTAGTTATCTGCTAACAACGCATCACTCACTTTTGAGCTGGCTGCAATTTATTACTGTGCTAAATAGCTTGGTGGAGCCATGACCCATTTCCCGTCTCGCTACTTTCAGGTACCAGATACTTATATCCACACCGGCAGTAACTTGTATATCCGTACCCAGGTACCTCTCTGCTCACAACTCAGAGGTTGCTTTTCGACTGCCTTTCAACCTGTCGATTGAGTTGGTCCGCATTCGTTTTTACCTTTCTACTAAATTCTTGTTCAACCTCGGGCCGGTGGAAGCCCGCCGTCGCTGGCGACCAGCCATGTCAGTCAAGTCCACCCAATGGGCCCAGTCGCAGCCCCCTTCTCGCCCTTGCTATCCGCCCAGAAATTGCCCTAAAAGAGCCACCCCAGTACTCCGTAAATGTGCTGTGCAGCCTGTGCTTCATCAGTGGAGACGCCCGCCACGAGCCCCATTTGCTCTCCTGCAAGGTCGACGAATATGTAAATAGATGGCACCAAGGGAGGCAATCTTTGACATTGTCAACTACAGCAAAGCAGTTAAGGTGGCATTTCATCTTGCTTGACAGAAAACCGGTGCAATTGGATGAAGTAAAAGAAGAAGGAAAATATTTCAATTTATCAGTTTGGTCACACTTGCTTGCTGCTCGCTTTCTTTTCATCTCACTCCACCGCACGACCAAGGCAGGTCCCCCATGCACAGATGCACCTAATAATCTTCTTCACACCTGCCGCAAGCGAGCACACGCAGGTAATTATCAGGCAGCTTCGCGTATGCTCCTGCCCCTCGCTAATAGAGCGATCTCTCCAAATTTAGATAACTACCCAGATATATGCTTTCTCCGAACCATTTTCTTTGCTCGGTTCGTTCACTTCCTTTGCTCAAGTCGTAGCGACAGACAGCGCTATTGCTCCCAGTAGACACATACACACTCACACACACACATAGGTACGGATTAACCAACCATGCTATGCCAGCCACACCACACAAATGACCCCTGCCCCTGACATGCTCAGACCGTCGTCCAATCATTCTTTCTCGACCTGCCCAACTGCAACTCGCTCTATTAATCTGAGCACCACTCACGCAAGCACACATCACCTCGACACCAGCACTGCCTCGTCACAGCGACAGCAGCTTTCAACCAGTCTGTCCATCATTCAGTTAGTCATGTAGTCATGCATCAGAATTCAGGACTCGCTAGTAATCGCTAAAATTTGCTGTTGCAGCCTCGCCTGAAGAAATAGGTCGTATCACGGGCTTGGCCGATTCAGCTCAGGCCTGCTCTTGTCCACGCCAACTGCCGCCATGACACCCTACTAATACTCAACGGTCGCCCGTGTCCATTGCCAACTCCCCATCTGGCAACAGATCACTTGCCACTCAGTCTTTTCTACCTATTCTAGCACAGAGCACAAATCCCTTCGCGTCTTGTGCTTGCTCCCATTCTCCAACGGATCTCTGCTAATACTACGGATTACTGGCGCACGGGTATCAGGCAAAACCTCGTTTGATGTGTAGCCACACGGAATACTCCTCTGTTGCCGACGACCGTACACGCTGTCTTAGACACGTCAAGCGCAAGCCACTGTCAAATAACGTTTCCCTCTATTTATTAATAAGCCCGTGCTAGAAGAGAAAACCGGACAAAAAGATGTCTTTGCTAGCACTGGGATAGCCCCCAGTCTGCGTTGTCACACACACGGACAAGGGGGTGTCAAGCCATGAATCTCGTCAGCACTCAGCCTCTGAACGAATATTGCGTACATACGGGTACGCGAACAAGGAAGGCTACAAAATTGGAGTTGGACCTCTGCATAGGAATTACCATCTGATCCTGCATAATGCATAAAGAGTCCCATCCACCTGTCAGCCCGTTAGCAAGTCGCAGAGTCGTCCCAACTATGGAACAAGTCCATCCCAAACAGACTGGCTGCGACGCTAACCAAATACACCACTACACATCAGATCAGACACGAGCGAGCCAAGTCCGACAAGGTTTACATTAACCTTCTGTAGGATTTCGTCTTCGACAAAGGTTTTGCCCATGAGGCGCCGTCGCCATGGTGTAGAACACGGCTCCCGGCTCGTCACATTGAGGCAGCAGGCTACTCGGACACGGCAAAGGGTGCGACTAGCGACTCGTGCAGCACAGCACGACTGGCGGCGTCAAAGCGCATAAATGTTAAGCATATAGTAAACGTAGTCATCCTGTCCATGCTGCCATTATTCAAACACACAATGCAAAATTCGTGACATGAGCAACGCGCTATGCTATGGTTTCGTTGCTTGCTCTTCTGCGGCCTTGATGGCTTCCTCCAGGGCTGCCTCGTCGTCAGAACCAATCTCGCCATCCACCTCGAGATTCTCCTTGCCTGCTGCAATCTTTTTTCCCACCTTCTTCTCTACCTTGGGCACGCTCAGCGTCGAGTTGCCTGGCACAAGCGCCCAGTCAATCTCGCCTTCAGGGCCATACCGCTGAATCAGCCACTCATTGGCCTTGCGAAAATGGCCGCAGTCAAAGAAGCCCCTTGACGCGCTCAGCGGGCTCGGGTGCACGCTCTGCAGCACTAGATGCCGCTGCTTGTCCACCTTTATCACGCGCTTGCCCGCTGGCGTGCCCCAGGCGACAAAGACGACGCCGCGCGTGCGCTTCTGCGCGACCAGGTCGATAATTTTTTGCGTGAGCCTCTCCCACCCACGGTTCGAGTGCGAGTTGGCCTCGTGCGCGCGCACCGTCAAGCACGTGTTGAGCATGAGTACGCCACGGTCCGCCCACGGCGTCAGCAGACCCGCGTTCTTTGCGGGCTTCTCGAAAGCCGGGTAGTCCTTGGCGAGGGCAATGTACATGTTGCGCAGCGAGGGCGGCGCGGGCGTCGGGGGCCGCACCGAAAACGCCATGCCGTGCGCCTGGTTCACGTTGTGGTAGGGATCCTGGCCGACGATGACGATCTTGACCTTGTCGAAGGGTGTGTGTCGAGACCTGCATCAAGCTCATTAGAAACAAGTAGTAGTAGCGTGCGTAAACGGCAGCGCGAGAAAAACGTACCAGGAGTAGACGTCTTCTTGAGGAGGAAACCACTTCTTCCCAGCCGCCGTCTCTCTTTCCAGGAACTTTTTCAAGTCGAGGAATTCTTTTGTCGTAATATCGTCCTTGAGCAGTCCAAGCCAGCTCTCGTGCATCGTCTCAATCTCCAGCTTCAGCAGCTTCTTCTGCTCCGGCGTCAGGCTGGCCAGCCATTTGGTCTTGTCAAACTTGGCCGCCGCCGCCGGTGCAGTTGTTAAAGATGCGGTGCCCGCGGTCTGGGCCGGCCTGGGCGCTGCACCGAAAAAAGAGGCAATGTTGCCATTGGCCTTTGGTTTCTTGAGCTCTGGTGCGGGCACAAAGCCGCTGGCCTTGCGCTTGAGGCCCGACATGGTGTGCAGTACTGGGACGAGGCTTCGTGCCTGCGGCGTCGATGCGCGACGGAATAGTGCGAACGCCGTCGCTGCGAGTGTGTAAAGGGGAAAGCTGCGGATTGTATTTCAGGTGTTGTTGAGGAAGAGGCAGTCGCTTTAGGAGGTAGTAGGCAGTGGGAAATGATCGAAAAAGGAATTATGTGAGACGGGAAAAGGACTTGTTGAACTCAATACAAGAACCCTGCTGCGCACGAGAACGCGGTGAGCCGACGCGAAGCCCTGCTTCCCATTTACGCGTGCTGGAGCAGCGATTCCGGCCGCTGTGGGGTGCGCCAACAAGCTCAGCTGGAGTCTGGAGACCCCATGCAAGGACTCACCAACGGCTCCTTAGCCAGGTTTGGGTGCGAAAGGGGTATTCGCCCAAAAAGCTCTGAATGCAGTCAAGTCCAACTGTTTTGGCCATTTAACACATGACTTTGCATATTCATATCTAGTTAGTGCTGCTGATGGATCGAGCGACAACACCAATCGCCCAGGCCGTCACGGCTGTCGACAACGGCTGCTTAGTCATCGTTGTAGAAGTGCCAGTAACGACGTACTTGGCTCTCTCTCGCCTCGCAAGTGGACAGCTTGTATTAACAACGGCCAGCGTCATATGCTGTTTGACCCGTCAATTCTCCCATCTTCCGCCTCATATTGATATACGGGCACTGCGTGCGGGATCGCCATGCACTTTGCTATTCACAACATTTGCATTTTTAAAAATTAGCCGAGTATGAAAAGCTCGGCTGTGTGTTTGCTCCGTAAGTTGATGGCCCGAACCCCGACGAGCTCGGCATCTCGTTGCTGACGGCTTTCCAGTGCTTTGGCAGGCAGCAATTGGCGCTGCATATACTGCACAGAAGCCTTTGAAGAACAAACCGACCGTTGCGAAGGTTGGAGATGCGGGCGGGACAACCACCGACTTGGCCGCGGGTGTAGGCCAGCCAGTCGTTCAACAACAAGGTATGATGTTCGAGCAGTATGTCTTCATCAAGCCCTAACCGTCACAGGCTCCGAGCTTGTCGATTTGGCCTTGTCAGAGCTTCAAAAAGTACCGCTGGCGACTCGAAAGAAACATAAAATGGCCTCAGGCCTGCTCAGCTTCACCGCGCGATACCTCCTCAGAGTCCTGCCGACAATGCCGGCGACCGGCCCGACACAGAAGCAGACTTCGACCGTGAGCGGACCTGTCGCCGTTGCGAAGGATTACCTCGAAAAAGCCGCGGCAAAGAACAACTCGGACGCACTATACCTGCTTGCGGAACTGAACTTCTTCGGATACCACAACTACCCCCGAGACCTCCAGGTCGCCTTCGACTACTACCAGGAGCTAGCCGCACACAATGGGAATACGACTGCGCAATACATGCTGGGACTATTTTATTCTACAGGCTTGGGAAATATCGTGCCGCAGGACCAAGCAAAGGCGCTGTTGTATTACACGCTTGCCGCCAAGCGCGGAGACGCTAAGGCGCTGATGGCTATTGGCTACCGCCACCATAGCGGTGTCGGCACTATCAAAAACTGCGAGACTGCTCTTGGATACTACAAAGAAGTGGCAGACAAGGCTATCAATTGGTATAGAGATGGTCCACCTGGAGGCCAGTCCTGGATCCAGGAAGCATGGCGCATCTCGGATGACGGCGGTGGCATCTATGGCGAAGGAGCTAGTGCCTCGAGCGCGGGACTGAATGCACTGAAACGCAATCTGCATTCCAACGACAATGCAGCAATAAGCGACGTCATCGAGTACCTGGATCTTATGTCGCAAAAGAGCGATTCAAAAGCCTCATTTAACCTCGGTCGACTGTACTATGAAGGACAACGTGGCCTGGAGAAGGATTTCGAAAGTGCTTTGAAATATTTCTTCTTGGCAGCCTCAAGGTACTGGAAGCGTGATGGACGTGCTACAGACGGCAACAAAAACGGTGCAGATAAGACGGCTGCCGAGGCGGCTGGCTATATCGGGAGAATGTATTTGCGTGGGGAAGGTGTCGTGCAAAACTATGACAAGGCCAAAGCGTGGTTCGAGCGTGGTAAGTCGCACGGCGATGCCCAGTCGCAATGGGGACTCGGTATTATGCTGCTCAATGGCATGGGCATACGACGAAATATCAAACTCGCGACGGAGCTACTGCGAACATCGGCCGACCAAGACTACGCTCCAGCCCAAGTGCAGATGGGCCGTCTGTTTCTTGACCAAGGCAATCCCGAGGATGTCAAGACGGCGAACTACCTCTTTGAGCTTGCCGCCCGGTATGGCAACATCGAGGCCTGGTATTACTTGGCGGAAATGACGAATCACGCCATTGGCCGCGAGCGACAATGTCAGATAGCCCTCAGTTACTACAAGACTGTTGCCGAGCGCGCTGAGCCACTGGTTTCGCTCTGGTCACAAGCCAACTTGGCGTACGAACTAGGTAACCATGACTTGGCATTCCTGCAGTACGTCATGGCTGCTGAACAGGGCTATGAGAAGGCACAGACAAATGTTGCCTTTATGCTTGATGCCAGCTTTGGCAAGCTGTCAGTGGTGGAGCTGCTCACTGGTCGTCAGGAGAACAAGATAAGCCCAATGGCAAATGCTAATCTCGCCCTCATTGAGTGGACCAGATCATCGCGCCAGTCCAACGTGGACTCACTGGTGAAGATGGGCGACTATTATTTTTACGGCATCGGCGTCGATAAGGACCTTGCCAAGGCTGTCTCATGCTACACCGGTGCCTCTGACTACCAACAAAGCGCGCAGGCTCTGTTTAACCTAGGCTGGATGCACGAGAATGGCGTGGGGTTGACACAAGACTTTCATCTCGCCAAAAGATACTATGACCATGCTCTGGTAGTCAACGCGGAGGCATATCTCCCCGTCACATTGAGTCTTTTGAAGCTTCGCATACGCAGTGCGTGGAATACCTTCACCCATGGTCCGATTCACTCTATTCAGGACGAGCCGAGCAAGTTTCCTTACCCTCGTAGCGACATGAGAGGCATACTAACAAATGCTGCAGAGAAAAAGAAGGACTGGTCCCTCTCCGAGTGGATCAACAATTTTATCGAGGGAGACTTGCTGTACGATGACGAATACTACGAGGACTACTACGATGCCAACACGATCGAAGGCGGGGAGATTTTTGACGACTCCAACGTGCTGGAGAGCCTGCTGATTATTGGCGTTACCTTTGCCCTCGTCGGCCTAGTCTGGTGGCGGCAGCGGTTACAGATGCAGCGGGCTGAAGCCGAGGAGCGTCGGCGGCGCGAGCAGGGTCTCCCACCAGGGGCGCCGGTGATGATGGATCCGAATATGATGGGCGGGTTTCCGGGTTGGGCTGCTGGGGGTATAGGATTCTAAGGTTTGCTAGGGAGGAAAAGGCTATGGTTTGAATGTACATATTGAGGATGGCGTTGATCGGAAGTATAGAAATTGTACATGATTAGGAAATAAAAGACAACACAAGCGTTCTTTTTACTGCAAATTCACGAGGCTCATGATGGACTATTCTAGCATGTAGAAGAAGGTGCACCGGCTCAGCACCTGAGTGTTGCCTCGGACTAAGGCTTATTGCAAACCGGCAGGCTCCCGCTTCAGCCGCTTCTTGTATTAGAGACAGTCGAGATGACGCGCAATACGCCGAGAGGTGCAAATAAGTTGATGCTCGGATTCTTTATGCCGGGGGGGGGGGCAAGTTCCGCTACGAATCAGCCTTGTTGACAGCCAAATAGAGCATGATCCTGAAGAGGCCTCGGCTACGGCCGCGTTTCATTCCGGGCAGCGACGCAAGGGATACACTGTCAAAGGCGTTGTACGATAGCGATGGCCTCGTGTGACTCTCAACAGCACGGCGTGTTTGTGCTGCAGCCTCGAGGATTGCGTCACAGTCATGGGGCAGCGAACATGGTTGTACGTTTGCTTTGACGGGGAAAGAGGGGGTGGGCTGGTTGCCGCTGAACTCCCTGATGGCATCGTTGCAAGAACGGAGGCCCGACGTTTCTCTTGGCAGATGAAACACGGCCAAGTTGCCATGTTATCCGTTGGACGCACATGAAGAAGCGCGTTGATGAGGTGCTGGGGAAACTGGGACGAAGTGATCGGGTTCTGGAGTGGTGTTGCCCGCCGGCTCGGGCTCGTCTCGAACAAGGCGATTGTTTAAGCTAGTTGGAACTGGCTTATTAGGGAAAACGTCTTGCATGTTAGAGGGGCTGCAGCAGGTTTCGTCAAGGGATCTGAAACCAGACAGGGTGGTTTCTTCCCTCGGCGGGGTTTTTGTGATACGAGCAATGCATCAGAGAGTCGTGTTGCGAAGCAGAAAAGGGCAGGAGGAGTATTTGATGCATACAGAAGAAATTGTAGAAATAGTCGGATGCTTTTAGAGCGCCAGTGTGAAATGCGGTGATTCGAACAGGTGATTCCTCATTCCGGTGACAAGGTGGCTGTGCTCGCGCCTGGTTTAGAAGAGTTCCTTGAGAGGTTTTGGAATCATGAGCTGGGCCATGGCTAGGTTTGGGAATAACGACAAGAGGCCCTCATTCAAAGGAGGAAATTATCAGAGCCGACTTGTACAGTTAGATTTTTGTTTAAATGAAAGAGAGGTATAGGCGTGAACAAAGAGTGCCTTTGCTTTCGATTCCGAATTGAAGTACAAACGCCACACTGCCAACTGTCTGCCATTGGGCTGTGCAGCCGTTTTTCAGTCAGCGAACGGCCACCCAGTCATGTACAATCCCAGAGTAATTGTACGGTCAAGGTACTTACTTGCTTTGGCTACCATAGCTGACGCCAGCCTTCTCCGCCACAAAACACCCACCCTCTTGCCTCCCAACCCTCCCTGAGTCCCTGTTTCTTCTGCATGCAGGAAGCGCTAGGTAGTTTATATCATCCCGCCTGGCCCCAGAGCCAGCCCAAAAGTCCTACTTTTGCGCTATCCTCTTCCATCACAACATCCTCTACTCTCGTCTCTGACCTTCTTCCCCAACAAGAACCTAAACGCCACCACGAACTCGACGTCGCTTTCAATCATCGACCCATTGGAGTAGTCTACGACAACAACTTCCAGGCCAGTTGTGCCGCATCTCGAAACAGCTACACCAACCGGCCGCAGCCATGGCTCCGCAGGCAACCCTTGTCCCGCGCTTCGACGACGATTATTACTATGGTTTCTGGTACACAAAGGTACGTTTGAGCCGAGCATTTGCCACGATGCTGATGCTTTCTCATCGTGCCATCCGAATCAACGCATGCTAATGATTCCGCAGACGGGCTACGCTGTCCGATGGTCGCTATTTGGCATCATTGTCCTCATTGCCCTCCTCTGGGTGGTTGGCGGCTACTTCCACGCCAAGCATCGAATGAAGAAGGGTCTCCCGCTCAAATCCTATCACAGCGTATGTCATTTCCCCCCTCTTCACTAATACCTCGCTCATCTGACACGCAACGCTCCCTATCGCAGTGCTTCTTCCCCAGACGACCACGCATGCAGCAATCCGGCTGGTACCGTCCGTACAACCAATATGGCCCGCCCCAGGATGGCTGGCTATAACAACGGCTACAACATGAACGCCATGCCGCCGCCACCGATATACGACGCCAATAACCGCCCGCCTGAGTATCAGCAGCGCCCGCCCCCGGGCGCCAGCAAGGTTGACCCTTCGCAGTGGTCCGGCCAGCCCACGAACCGGCCGGCTGAGTCAAGCATGGCGGGCGCAGGACCCGTTCCCGAGTACACGCCGCCGCCTGGTCCGCCTCCGGCTGTCATGAGACAGTAGATGTGGATTTCATGGCGATGATTGCATGGATATCCGGATATTTGGATTCAGTCCTGTTGCGCAGACCAGCAACCACATTGGCTTGCTTGCTAGCTCTTGTCTTACGAAGGCACAAACTCTACACTTTCTCTGCGTTTTACCATTGCATACGGCGTTTTAGGTTCAATGGGAAATATAATTAGTCTTCGATATTGTACTTTGGTAATACATATATGCTACTCAGCAGACTGTTGACGCCCCGCTTTACCTGCCCTCGCTTTGTCTCTCGTGCGATCTCAATTAATCTATATCCATTGCTATATCATCCCCTCCATCTTGTTCTGTCATTTCAGTTGCATTCGTGTCGGCCGTGGTAGTGTGCCCGTAGGTCTCTTCGCCGTCGTCTTCGGCGCCGGCTTGGCGCGCCCGAATCCGGCGCCGAGTCTCAATAATGGCCTTGCGCACGCCATCCTTACTCTCAGGCACCGACAGCGACTTGGGGTCGCTGTACAGCACGAGCTGCATGCCCGCCAGCTCGCCGTCGCCGTTGGCCAGGATCTGCGGCGGTATTCGCGTCTCCCGCAGGCGCTTCTCAATGTCGGGGAGGAAGACGAGCTTGGCGTCGTCTGGCTCGCTGTCATCGGCGAGCTCCTCGTCTATATTATAAATGTATACTTTGTGCTTGCTGTCGTCTAGGCGCATGGCGTCGTCGTCGCCGTCCATCGTCTGCGGTTTTGACGGACGTGGCGGGCTCTCGACGGGTACGTAGAGCTTGGTTCCATCGTGTTCTGCGACAAGGGTTAGTAGCGTGCGACAGAGGTACGTCAAGGCTTTATATAAACGGAAAGCCGATTGACGGCAATGCAGGAGAAAATCGAAGAGGAATAGATGAAGAAACTTACCTATATTTAAAAGACTCAACCTTTTGGATAGGCGCTCATTGTCCTGCTGCGCCTCGGCTTTTCTTTTGTGGCCGGCGTTGGCCTGAGGAAGCTGGTTCGGGTCCATGGCCGGCGTGGCGCTCGAATGAGATTGCGCTCGCAACATAGCCTTTGCATCAATTCCGCCCTCCTCGCAGGAGCCCTGGTCAAAAATCGTCGGGCATCAACGGGCAGTGTCAAGTGGCAGTCCAAAACTGATGCTGATTGGATTTCCTTCTTTTGATGCTGTGAAGAGCCGCGAGCCAGTTTGAGTCATCGGATGTTGAAGCGTGGTGGCAACGAGCAGCAGCAGCGGTGGTCGGCGCTGGCGCGGGCGGCGCTGGCGTTGCCGTCGCTCCAGTTGACTCAGGCTGGTTGTGGAAGATTCTACTTGTCCCACCATCGCAATCCCCGCCATCACCATCACATCTCGCCTCCTCCACATTCTCAACGGCTCGCCTGCGCAAATACCGCCGCCATATACCGAATTACGCCTCGACGCGCCTTTGCATCCATTCCATCCGTGTTTCGTCATTTGCAGCGTCGACTGTACTCTGACTTGAAAATGGCGACGGAGACGAAATGGCCCGCCGCAAAGGTTCGCGAGACCTTTCTCGACTTCTTTGAGAAGAGGGGCCACACCATTGGTGCGTATTTGCTTCGTCTGATCCGGTCACTGCTTTTCGCACGTCCATGATTGTCTTCACCAACTTAAAACAGGCCATCTCAGAAATCTACATCGCACACCCATACTAACTACCCATCCTTCCAGTCCCCTCGGGCTCTGTCGTCCCTCACAATGACCCCACCTTGCTCTTCACCAACGCGGGCATGAACCAGTTCAAGCCAATCTTCCTCGGCACTGTGGGTAAGACGGATCCCATGGCCAACATGAAGCGAGCGGTCGATACCCAAAAAGTCATCCGCGCCGGCGGCAAGCACAACGACCTCGACGACGTCGGCAAGGACTCCTACCACCACACCTTTTTCGAAATGCTTGGCAACTGGTCTTTTGGCGACTACTTCAAGAAGGAAGCCATCGAGATGGCCTGGGAGCTGCTCACAAAGGTCTATGGCCTAGACCCGGAGCGTCTCTACGTTACATACTTTGAGGGCAGCTCCGAGCTCGGCCTCGACCCCGATCTCGAAGCCAAGGAGCTCTGGCACGCTCTCGGCGTCCCCTACGAGCGTATACTGCCCGGCGATATGAAGGACAACTTTTGGGAGATGGGCGACCAGGGTCCATGCGGCCCTTGCTCTGAGATTCACTATGACAAGGTGGGCGGTGGTCGCAACGCCGCCAGCCTCGTCAACATGGATGACCCCATGGTCGTAGAAATTTGGAACCTCGTCTTCATGCAGTTTGACCGACAAAAGGATAGAAGCCTCAAGTCGCTTCCTGCAAAGCACATTGACACAGGTATGGGTTACGAGCGTCTTGTCTCTGCCCTGCAACATACCATTTCCAACTACGCCACCGACTGCTTTACTCCTCTCTTCAAGCAAATCGAAACCGTCACGGGAGTCCGCCCTTATACCGACAAGTACGGCAAGGATGATGTCGACGGCATTGATACCGCCTACCGTGTGATTGCCGACCACATTCGGACCCTCTCTTTCGCCATTACCGACGGCGCTGTGCCCAACTCTGATGGTCGCGGCTACGTTGTCCGCCGAGTCCTGCGCCGCGGTGTCCGATATGCCCGCAAGTACCTCAACGCCGAGGTTGGCTCCTTCTTCTCCAAGATTCTGCCCGCTCTCGTCGAACAGGTCGGTGGTCAGTTCCCTGACCTTGTCAAGAAGCAGGAGGACATCAAGGAGATTCTCGATGAGGAAGAGGAGGCTTTCTCTCGCACCCTCGACCGTGGCGAGGCCCAGTTCGAAAAGTATGCTGCAAAGGCTGCCAAAGACAATGTCAAGAAGCTTGATGGTGATGTTGTTTGGCGTCTGTACGACACCTTTGGATTCCCGGTTGATTTGACCAAGCTCATGGCCGAGGAGCGTGGCCTCGAAATTGACGAGGCAGAAGTAGAAGTTGCCAAGGAGAAGGCTCGCGAGGCCTCTAAGGCTGTCAAGGATGCCGCTGCCACATTTGCCAAGCTCAATGTTCACCAGATTGCTGAGCTTGAGCAGCAGCACAAGCTCCCTCGCACTAATGACGAGAGCAAATTTGTGAAGGGTGACAGCAAGGGCAAGATCCAGATCATCTTTGACGGCCAAACATTCCACAAATCTACCAAGGACCTACCTCCCAAGACCGCCATTGGTCTGCTGCTTGACCAGACCAACTTCTATGCCGAGTCTGGTGGTCAAATTGCCGACACTGGCCGTATTGTCATTGATGATGTTGCCGAGTTCAAAGTTATGGACGTTCAAAATTTTGGTGGATATGTACTACACAGCGGCTATATTGAATATGGTGCCCTCTCCTCTGGTGACGAGGTTATTTGCGAGTACGATGAGCTCCGCCGTTCCCCCATTCGCAACAACCACTCTGGTACACACATTCTGAACCATGCCTTGAGAGAGGTTCTTGGCGACGACATTAATCAAAAAGGCTCTCTTGTCGATGACGAGAAGCTTCGTTTCGATTTCTCACACAAGGCTCAGGTCAAGCTTGATGAGCTGAAGAAGATTGAGGATCTTTCGAACGCTTACATTCGCAAAAGCTGCAAGGTATTTTCAAAGGATGTTGATCTGGACCTCGCTCGTGAAATCGAGGGTGTTCGCGCTGTTTTCGGCGAGACGTATCCCAACCCTGTCCGCGTCGTCTCGATTGGCATGGACATTGACACCATGCTTGCTGAGCCTAAGAAGGCCGACTGGCGCAAGTACAGTGTCGAGTTTTGTGGAGGTACACACGTCGAGCAGACTGGTCTCATCAAGGATTTGCTGATTGTCGAAGAGAGCGGCATTGCCAAGGGTATCCGCCGTATAATTGCCTACACTGGCGAGGCCGCCCACAGAATCCAGCGCGAAGCTGCCGAGTTCTCCAAGACCCTGGATGCCCTGGACGCCCTTCCCTTTGGCCCCGAAAAGGAAGCTCAGGTCAAGACCGTCTCGCAGGAGCTGAGCAAGCTCGTCATTTCTACACTGACCAAGGAGGAGCTTAACCAGCGCTTCGCCAAGATTAGCACCGCTGTCATTAACGAGCAAAAGAAGAAGCAAAAGGCCGAGTCCAAGACTGCGCTCGATACCGTCACCAAGTACTTTGAGGAAAACAAGGAGGCGAAGTGGTTCGTCGGCCGCCTGCCCATTGGCGCCAACGCCAAGGCTCTGGGCGATGTCGTCAAGCACTTTCAAAGCAAGGACAAGGACAAGACTGTCTACCTCTTTGGTGGCAGCGAGGAGGCTGGCGGTGTTGTGCATGGCGTCTACATTGGACAGGTAAGATTCATTGCACGCGTGATTTCATTGATAGTATATGCTGACGCGCCTTGATTAGCACCTCGCCTCGCAGGGTGTCACCGCTGAGTCGTGGGCTGCAAGCGTCTCCGAGGTTATCGGCGGCCGTTCTGGCGGCAAGGAGCCGACTCGCGCGGGCCAGGGTACCAAGCCTGAGAGCATCGATGAGGGTGTTGAGCAGGCGACCAAGTGGCTGAGCGAGAAGCTCAAGCTATAAAAGTTGAGAGATATGTGTATGAGATGCCGATATTGAAATGTAACAAAGTGGTTGGAATTATCCCACATGAAGAAGATAAATAGGTATCACGGGCGGGGCGGATAGTTTGCAATATCAAAGAGGCCAACTTGAAGGCATGACATGACGCATAGATCAACTCGCAAACTGTACATATGATTATGTATTTACATCCCCAGCTCTTTCTGGTAATGTGCAAAGATATGGCGTCTGGGTGCTATTGGTACAGGTGGTGATATCAACAAGGTCTCTGGTTCCCTTTTTTTTTCATGGTTTTCTCCTCTTCACACAGTCACCATGACGCTCGCATTCTTGTAATGCGACAGCAGCGGATTTTCGCCGCTGCGCGTCTGCGTGTCCTCGACGTACGCCCAGCGGCGCAAGAAGTCGCCGTGGGACATGACGCGCGTGAGCTTGCCGGTAATGGCCCTGTACATGGCCTCGGTGATGGCAAAGTCTGTGGGGAAGAGAATATCAAAGTAGCCTTGATGGACCTGTACATGAGCCAAGCAGTCAGTATGGTGCTGAGAGAAGAGGGAGGGTGACAGAAGGTTGGTTGGGGGGGGGAAGACGTACCAGCGGGGTCGTGACGGGCACCATGCGGCGGTTGTAGCGCGTCTGGACGACGGGCGCATTGAGACCCGGGATGGCCTGCGGGAGGGAGTCAAAGTCGGACGTGACGAGGCGGTGCGCGGGAAAGTAGCGCTCGAGCACGTCAAAGAACTGCATGAGGCGAGTGGGGATGAATTCGGCGCGGGAGAGGTTTGGCGCAAAGGGCATCCGGGCAGCGAGGTAGCGCAGGACGGGGTTGGCGGCGTAGGGGCGGGGGTAGACGCCGCCAGTGGCCGCGTGGCGGACGCGAAAGAAGCGCGCGGCGACGGGATCGAGCTCGTGGACGTAGAATTCGTAAAAGTCACCGTCGCCGTCGATGAGCACGTGGCCCTGGAGGGGTTCCTCGGTGGTGACGTCGTAGCGGATGCCGTCGTGGGCGAAATTGTCAAAGACCTCCATGGCGAGAAAGAAGCACGGCGAGGGCTCGCACTGATCCCACTCAAAGACGGAGCGGTTGATGATGGTGACCTTGTCCGCGTGCCCGCGCGATTCGGCCGTCGCGCGGAGGTGGTGCTGCTGCATGGCGGCGAGGGCAGGCGAGATCTCAATCACGTTGTAGCGGGTGCGCGCGTAGACCTGCGGGTCGACGGCGCGAATGTAGTCGAGGATGTTGAGCATGAGCGTGCCGCGGCCGGCGCCCATCTCGTACAGAATGAGGTCGTGGTAAGGGTACGTCGTCAGGCGGTAGTTGGAGACGAGGTAGCGCGCGACGGCCTCGCCGTAAAAGGGGCGGAACAGCTCCGTGGGCGTGTGCCAAAGTTGCCGCGTCGGGTTGACGCCGCCCTCGGCCTCATCGAGAAGGTCTTCGAATTCCGTGTACCGCCGGCCAACCTCGCCCTGAAACTCAATCTCATCGCGCATGGCGTTGAAGTCAAAGGGCTCGCCGGGGCTAAAGATGACGGCTTGCTTGGAAAAGTAGCCGTACGAGGGATTGTAGAGCGAGTCTGCATGGCGACGTTAGGGAAAATAACCACACTGGCAGAGAGGCCAATTGGGTTGCTGATTTCGGGCCCTACCTTCGATAAAGTCTCGCAGCAGCATCTTGACCTTGCGCGGGCGCTCCGTCCGCTGCTTTAGCTCCTGCATGGAAATGTACGGGTACTTTGCAAACTCGTCGCTACGATCCTCTGGGAAGAGATGCGTTCGCTGCTGCCAGCGGCTCTCGTTCGTCTTCATGCCGCGGTCGATGGACGCCCTCGTCGCGTAACCGCGCCCATGGCGGCTGCTGGCCGGCGGTCTGGGATGGCTCTGCTCGAGGCCGCGGCGGAGCGTCGTGGGTAGGCGGCCCTGGCATCCGCGAGGTCGTTGTCGAAAGAGCTGCCGAAAGAGCTGCGTGACAATGGGGGAATCCATGAACCCCACGGCGACACACGGCGTGCGTGTTGGCAAAGGGAGCAGAAGAAAAAGTATCGCGTGTCATGGACGTTTAGGTCAAGCTCCAACTGCCAAGTCGAACGGCCAGTCAATTCGCAGGCGGCGAGGGAAGAGCGTTGTTCCGGTTCAGAGCCAGCTTTAGGTCTCTTTGCAGGGGTCTGGGGCGCTGAAACTCGCTGCGGAATAGCGCCTGGTGGGGAGCTCATGACGTTTTTTCGCACCATGCCCTTGTTCTAAGCTTTTTTACAATGTCCATTCTCCTCTCTCTCTCTCTCTCTGACAGGCGCAGAGCGAATGCGCGCGGAAGTTTACATTAGTCCGGACCAATTGACGGCAGCATGTCGCTGAGCGATCACCCGCGAGCCTACGGCTCCGCGGCGCTGGTGGCTGCCTTTGCTGCCGGCATACTCGTAACACTGGGCTTCAAAGACGCCTATCCCGATCTCGAGAGCCGCTTCCAGGAAAAGCACCGCGGGGCGGGCAGTCGCCGCAAAGGTCTGCGTCCCCGACGCTCCAGCATATTTTGGGGCGCGCCTGTGACGCTCGAGGACCATGAGCAGGAGTCATCGCGCCGGTCAGACGGCATCGCCGAGGACGGCATCGTAGGCTGCATCGGCAACACGCCGCTGATCAAGATCCAATCCCTCTCCGAAGCCACGGGGCGGACCGTCCTCGCAAAAGCCGAGTTCCTCAACGGTGCCGGTAACAGCCCCAAGGACCGGGTGGCGCTGAGCATCATCCGCGCGGCCGAGGCGCAGGGACTCTTGACGCCGCGCCGCGGCGACACCATCTACGAGGGCACCGTGGGCAGCACGGGCATCTCGCTGGCGACGCTCGCCCGCGCCCTCGGCTACCGCGCGCACATTTGCATGCCCGACGACCAGAGCCGCGAAAAGTCGGACCTCCTGCTGCATCTCGGCGCCACCGTCGAGCGCGTCCCCGTCGCGCCCATCACCAGCCCGGACCACTTTGTCAACCTGGCCCGCCGCCGCGCCGCCGAGCACGCCGCCGCACACGCCGACGGCAGCCGCGGCTTCTTCGCCGACCAGTTCGAGACGTCGGCGAACTGGCAGGCGCACGCCGACACGACGGGCCCCGAGATTTGGCGGCAGACGGGCGGGCTCGTCGACGCTTTCGTGGCCGGTGCCGGCACCGGCGGCACCGTCGCCGGCGTCGCGCGCCATCTCAAGCACCGCGAAGACAAGGCAAAGAGCAGCAGCGTCCGCATTGTGCTCGCGGACCCCCAGGGCAGCGGCCTCTATAACAAGGTCAAGCACGGCGTCATGTACTCGCCGACGGAGCGCGAGGGCACGCGTCGCCGGCAGCAGGTCGACTCCATGGTGGAAGGCATCGGCGTCAACCGCGTCACGGCCAACTTTGAGGCCGGCCGCGACCTGATTGACGACGCCGTCAAGGTGACGGACGAGCAGGCCTGCCGCATGGCGCGCTGGCTGGTGGAAAAGGACGGCATCTTTGTGGGCAGCAGCAGCGCCGTCAACTGCGTGGCGGCCGTCGTCACGGCCCGGACGCTGCCGCCGGGGAGCGTGGTGGTGACGGTGCTGTGCGACTCGGGCACCCGCCATCTGAGCAAGTTTTGGAAGCACATTGAGGAGATGGGCCGGGACGAGGATGAGCCCGCGGACCTGTTTGCCGAGCTGGGCCTGGAGCAGCAGGCGGAACAGTAAAGTCTTGTATAATTATGAGCATTATACCCCCTCCCCCTATAAAAGTCTTTGATACTAGATTCATTCTTGCAAGCTGAGTTGTTAACAGTGAGGTGGTCGAAGGTAATGGCTGTGATGATCTGCTATGCATACATTAAAACTAGCAAGCATCGTTGTTTTGTCTGGTGATCCCTAAAAACTCCAAACAAGAAATCAAGAAAGTAAAAGAAAATCAAACACCTTGTGTCATTGTTTACTCCTCTTCTCCTGGTGACAAAATAGCCCGCGAGGACCAACTATAAACTATGTAGCGTGAAATGAAAAAAGAAAAAAAAATAAGATGAACAAAAGATGTTGAGCCATGTCGTGGCTTGCCATTGATATACCTAGGAAAACTACGCAAGCAATGTTAGACACACACACATACACAGGAACAGCCTGAATAGGCTGGGGAGTGAGAGTCAAGCTTACCTTCCAGCGGTTACCGCAATTCATGCACTCGCAAAACGTCGTCATCGGCTCATCCGCACTGCGCGTCTGCGCCTGCGTGTAGCTGACCTGCTTCTTCTTGCACTTGCCGCACTCGAGGCTGTCGCTGATGCTCTTTTCCGCCATGGGCACCTGCGCCTTTTTCATATTCTCCTTTTCCAGCTCAATCTCCTTTTTGCGCTGGTCGTCGCTCTTCAAGTCGTCGTCGGTCATGGCGACGAAGCGCTCCGGCGGAATCTCGCTCGCCATGACGCTCTGCCCCAGCGCGCGGTTCGACTTGTTCTTGAGGTTGGTGAAGAGGGAGCGAATCTTTTTCTTGTAGTCGGCGCCCTGGCCTTTAAAGTGGGCAAAGGCGGCGGCCTCGACGGCGACCGACTTGGCGAGCACGTCCGACTCGGAGGCGGTGGAGCGGTAGGCGAGGCCGTTGTAGATGAGCCCGATGCAGCTGTTGCGCACGGCGGAGTCGGTGCGCTTGGTGTCGACGCCGTCGGCATCGTACTTGCGCGTCTCGGGGTCGCCGGTGAATTTCTTGCCGGCAGCGGAGGAGGTGGTGGTGCTCATGGTGGGTAGTATGGCAGCGGCGGCGGGCGCGGGAGGGGAGGAGGCGGCGCCCGAGGCGGGGGAGCCTAGCTTGGATCTTTGCAGCTTCGAGTTCTTTTCCTGCTCAACAAGCTTTTTCCACTTGTTGACAAGCTCGGCGGCTGATCGCGCAATTTCCTTGTTCGAGTTGCTGCGCAGCTTGCCGACAAAGACGCCGGCTCGGGTCGACTGTTGTTCAAGACCAAGGTCTGGTTAGTAAAAAGTCGGGTACATTAAAACAACGGCGCTGCCATTGGGTAGAGAGAGGCGTCATTGGCGAGCATGCGGCGGTCGGTGCAAACAGCATTTGCGACAAGGTGCCCGATCCTTTTTGACCTTCTTGCCCTGCATGCGCCTATGCCGCCCCCCCCCCCCCCCCCCTTCCCCCCCGTCGCGGTCGTCGAAAACGAAAAGCTACGCTCCTCCAACATTACGGCGCAAACGCGCTATCCTGTTCCAAACGTACCCGAAGCATTTCCTCCGTCGGCGCCGCATCCTCTTTGAGCGAGTCCAGCAGGCGTAGTGCGTTTTCGGGAGCCTCGTTGGCGGCGACGCTCTTGGTGAGCGCCTTGATGCGCGACTCGAGCTCTCTTTGATCCATCTTGTTCGCCCGTCGTAGTTGTCACTTGTCGCTACCCGATATGTACGCAAAAAAGGGATCAAAAGAAGAAGCAGAAGAAGAATCAAATGCGCTGGGCGGCAAAAAAAAAAATTAGACAGGTTGTGGTACAACGCCCAGCCGGGCCATGCGAACGGCCGCCGCCTAAAGGGAAAACGCGCCATCGGGTGTTGGGGCCGAGCTTTAGCCGACATCGTCATAAACTTGCGCGTTGTGGGGCGCTGCTTGTGACGACTTGCCTGATGTAGCCGTGTAAGAGATGCTGCTTGGACGGGAAGACGCCTCCGCGCAAACTGTAAAACTGTAAATTGAGAAAATTGCTACTTTCAGATATACGTGGTTTTGGTTCATTTCGTAGATATATGCGCTGGATGGTGATACAAATATGTTTACCCGTCATGTTACAGAGCCTAGGTGGTAACCGGAACGGCAGCGGGCCGTTCTGTGCTCATTGTAGTGGTAAGGTACCTCTACTTCACAGATTGTACATTTACATATATTTTCCAACCTACTGCTTCCGCCGTTTATTGCTCCCTTGAGCGGTATCTGCCTCATCTCCTGCCGTATTCCTCTTCAATTTATCCACCGCCGCCGCCATTCTCTTGCTCGCACCCGCCGTCTGCCGCGGCGCAAACGCCTCCCTCGCGCCGGCGCCCACGCCGCCCCCAAAGAACCTTGTAATGTTACTTTGCGTGCCCTCGACCCCGCGCCGGTTCATGTCGCGGATGACGGGCACCAGCACCTCGTCGGTGCGCTCCTTGGTCCACCCAATCGTCGCCATGAGGAAGCGCCGCAGGCCCTCGACGTCGGGCACGCCCCACTGGAACGGCTCGGCGCTGTCGTCGACCTGCGGGTGCAGGTACGCGTCGTCGACGGCTGAGTTGGGGAAGCCCGGCGGCAAGAACAGCTTGGCAGCCTGCGTGCGGCGGAACTTCTTGCGAAACGGTGAGTCGGCATCGGCAGCTTTCGGGCGCGATTGGACCTGCACCTCGTCCCACCACTCGCGGAAGCGGGCCAAGCCATCTTTGCCGGGAAACTCGGAGATGATTTCAACGGCTGTTACGGGGCCAACGCCGGGTAGACCCTCGGTGTAGTCGGAACCGAGCAAGTGCGCGAGGGCAATGAGCTGCTGGCGCGAGAGGGAGAGGTCCTTTTCGAGCTCGTTGCCGAGGTAGCACTCGACAAATTTGTTGCTGTTGAACATGTTCTTGTAGACGCGGGTGCCCCCAAAGAGAAACGTATCAGAGTCGTCGGTGACAATTCCGTCTACCATGCCCAGACGGACAAGCTCGGCGCACTGCGCTTCGGCTTCCATCGGCGCGGTAATATACGGGATGCCAAACAGTCGCAGCAGCGACTGGCATTCGGAAACCATGACTTGGGTGACTTCGTCCGCATCGCGGCGGTCCTTTTTCTGCTGGGTGCGCAGCTGTCGGAGCTCCTGCTCGTAGTCACGCCGATTCTGCTCCATGGACTTTTGATTGAGTTCACTGGCGAAGCGCGCATGCTCCTCGGCCTCCTCGGCCATTTGCACCAAAAGTTCCTCCTCCTCTGGATCGCTGTATTCATTCTCATCTGCGTCGCCAAAGAGCTCGTCGTCGTTGATGGTAACAGGCACAGTGGCGCTCTGCTCCTCAACGGCAGGTATAGCATCGGCATCGCCTTCTAGCTCGGGAGCAGCAGCTTCTTCAGCAATCTGGGGAAGCTCAATATCTTCGAATTCCGGTTCAGGAGACTCTGCATCTTTTGGGGGGGTCGTTTCTTGAGTACTACCCACACGCACTGTAGTATCGGAGAATTGCGCATCCTCTATCGTAGCTTGCACTTGTGTTGACTCTTCCACTTGCTGTTCGAGCTCTGCCTCTGTCTGTTCGCTCAGCGTCCGCAACTTCGTAGCCGCAGGTTCTGGAGCAGGAAACGGTGGCACTTCAATAATTTGTACATCACTGTCATCATCAGAGTCCGAATTGATTTCAACCAGCCGATCCTTCATTTCTCTTTTCCGTCTTCGCTCCTCCTCTTCTGCATCCTCTCTGTCTTGCGCATTGATCTCTCGCTCAGCAACCCGCTGCTTGTTGAGAGAATCTCTAATGTCCGACTCGTCGGCCAACCACGGCGGCAGCGTTGGTGCTTCATCTTGATCCTCTACGGTGAATCCACCTGCCAGATCATGCTCATCTTCATCTTCGTCCACATGGGCAGCGGCAGATGGATCACGTGCAGTTGCCTTTGCTGATGTCTCACCCAACTTTGATTTGCCAAATAGAGACGATCCCAAGCTGAGCTTCGGGAACGGCAGAGGGCCATCGAATGGGTTCTTTTTATTTTCCAGAACAGGGCGCGGGGCTGGTGCCTTCCGCTTCTTGGCTTTGCGGGATCGTGCCATGATGGCCTGCATATCATCGTCACTGTCACTCTCTTGGGTCTCTGGTTTTTCCTGGCGCTTGGGCACGGCAGCATTGGATCTGTTGTTGACAATATGCGCAATCATGGAGCCACCGCGGGCTGTTAAAGGCTTGGCAGCTTCCACTGCCTTTTGCGTCCACTCGGGCTTATCCTCAACGACGTCTTCAAACAAGTCGTCCTCTGTCGCCAAGTCTTCCATAACCCCATGCTGATTCTGTAATGACAATGCAATAGCACGGTTCAGGTCATCCTCCTCTTCGGGATGGATGTGGTCCGCCTCGGGAGCTTCGTTCTCGATTTCAGGGGCACCGGCTGGTCCTCCAACGAAGAGCGAGTCTTCGTCATTGATAGGCTCTTTGTGATTGTCATAGAAATGTTGACGTTTCGAGGCGAGATCGCGAGCAGCTTCGAGGCTGGCATTCGTGGGGTCGTGTCTTGGTAAGCGATTTAAGCCTTCGATGGGCACATCTTCGAAGCCATCCACATCTTCATCGTCATCATCCTCCTCTTTTGTTTGAAATTGAATGTCTATGGCATCCACGTCAATAGGCTTATGCGCCTCGCCGACATCCTTTTCCTTGCTGACAACGCCTAGAGCCCAGCCACCTTCAGCGCCTTCATTCTTGACCAAAATGTACTCTCTGTCCTTTTCGCCTGCAACTCGAGCATTCACACCGAGCGTCAAATCAAGGCCAGTCATGCCGACTTCGGACATGAGTCGCTGGGTGAGATGATTTCTTTCCTTGACGCGCTCAATTTGAAATCTTGAAAACGCCATGCGGTCCGGGAACATTTCATCAAGTTGATCCTTACTCAGGCCCAGTCTCAGACGACTACGTAGCCTGGCTGCATTGAGAATGTTGTATCTGTCGGGAGGTGGCAGGCTCTTGAAAAATTCGCCGTCAAAATCAATCTTGCTAAAGTCGTACAGGTTGATATCCTCGCCGTTGTTGAACTGGCGCGCATACTCTTCCAATTCCTCGACGCTCATAATTCGAGGATCATCAGGCTTGCCCATGGAGGCTATGCCGCCTTCAAGCTCGGGCAGGTGATAGGCGTCCTTTTTGTGAAACTTGCGATTGCGCTGACGCTCCTGGTTGGACATGCCCACTTCATTCAAGTATACCATGTTCTCCGGGTCAGGAAGTGGCTCTTCGTCGGCTTCTCTCCTCGGTCGCTCAGTCTCTCTTTTCCGCTTCTGCTCCTCCTCTTCAGCGACGCGCTGCATCTGCACAGCCAGCAGCTTCCCGGCGGTGCGCAGGGCGTCATCGCGGCGGCCCTCTCGGCGGCGCTGTCTCTTCTGGATCGTGGCGCGTTTGAGGGCCGGCGCGCCGCCATCAAAGACGAAGACGGGCTGGATGCCGAACCAGAGCAGCTTGCAGATGCGGCGGAAGAAGCCGACGACGTGGGAGTTGCGGAGCGCATTGCCCTCCTTGTCACGCACGGCTTTGAGAAACTGATATATCCAAATGGATGCATCGACAGCGAGGCGCTTCCGATTGAGCGTCGCAAGGTTGGTCGGCCGCGCGCATGGCTGCACGACGGTCCAAAGACCGTTCACGCCCATGGCGGATAGTTACGGCGCTGTAGTTCTCGTACAGTCCAATGGATGGAGTTCCTTTGGATTGATGGATCTCTCAAGTCATGACGAAATGTATCTCTGCGAGGCAGTGGTTGGAAGCCCCGTATATTGCATGGATGGATGAAAAGCGCTACTTGCCGGCGACGGCGCGCATTGCAAGTGTGAACAAGTTCACGGTTGATGACGCATTTGTTGGCGGCACCAATGTTACAGTGGAGCTCAGCGGACACGCCGCCCACTAACTCCAACGACCGCAGCATCCCGAAAAGCTACCTACCTACCATGATAGCAGGCTGCTTTGCAAATTGATCAACGGCCATTTCTTCCCCGATATTTTGACGCTATCACGGCCTTACCGGCTCACATGTTGCGTCCAGATCCCGCACAGCCGTCGACATGGACAAGGACGCGGCGCGCGAGTACCTGTCGTCGCTGCTAAACCAGAACCTGCGAGTCGTCACCACAGACGGCCGCTTGTTCTGGGGCCAATTCAAGTGCACCGATGCTGTTCGTCACCCTCAAGGCGTTTATGCTCTTGCAATGTTTGCGCATGTCCCTTGCTAATTCGTCTGGCGGCGTCAGGAAAGCAACATCGTGTTGGCGCACACCTACGAATATCGACCGCCGAGCGAGGAACTGCGGGCGCAGGCCATGACACAAGCTGCGGGCGGCAATGTGACTCTGGACATGACATCGCGCTATCTGGGCTTGGTTGTTGTTCCTGGACATCGAATCACAAAGATGGAGGTTGAGCGCTTTGCGAGCCAGATGGGACAACGTCATAGCCGAGCTATCATATAGAGGATAGCCATACATTTACAGTGATGCGCCTGGGGACACATAACGATCTCATCCTTCGGCTTGTTCAGAATTGTATTAAGCACTAAGAATACACGTAATAAAAAAAGACTACTCTACCAGCACATGGAAACGTCAAATCTAGGCCTCCAGTTGCCTTTCGGGGTATGCCTTCAGCCTCGCTCTCCGCAGACGCGCCCATTAGCTACCATTAGCTACCATTACTGCCATGTGCAAGACAGCGAGCCTGTAATTCTCCAAAGAATCGCTAACCTTTTCCGTCATAATACCCACTTTATTGTATTTCGTTTTCTTTTTTTGGTTTATATCGTTCATTATGGTCCGAACTAGGCAACGACCTCCTGGGCGCGGCCGCGGTGCTCACTGTTCAGGCCAGCGTCGGAGTCGAGTTCATCTTCCTCCTCTTCCTCGGATTCCTCGCGCCAGGAGCCGTTGTCGAGGGGAGCATCCTGCTTGGAAAGATCGTGACCCTCGCCGCGGTTGCGGAGGTTGTTGCGGCGACGCTGAGACAGGCCGCGAGAGCGGGTGGAGAGCTTGGAAGAGACTGCAGCGTTGGAGCTGACCCAGCTGGTAAGAGCATCCTCGCAGTCCTGGATGATGGCCTTGCTAGCCTCGTAGCCGTCATAGGCGGCGCGAGTCTCGCCAGGGGTGACAGGAGTGTCGTCGATGAGCTCGAGGAGGTGCTTGCCGTAGCCAGCAATGATGGCAACCTTCTCACAGTGCTCGCGGAGGGCATCAAACTGGTAAGTGTAGGCAGCCTTGACCTTTTCGCGGGTAATGTTGGAGAGCTGGGCCTCGGCGACGAGGGATTCAGCCTCGGCACGGACAAGCTCCTGCTCGAGGACAACAATCCGGGGGGAGTTGGGCTCCTTGTACTTGAGTTGGGCAATCTGGTCGGTAATCTTCTGCTTGCGGTCGCGGCTGGGCTGCACAGAGGCTTCGATATTGCGGATGCTCTTCATGGTGATGCGGTACTGGTCATAGCGGTCGACGTACTGGTCCTCGAGCTCGCCAATCTCGTAAAGGAGAACACCAAGCTTGTCGGTGACATCGGAGACGTCCTCGTCGGCACCCTCGCCCCAGACGGAGAGTTGTTGCTGGCGGCATGTTAAGATTAATAGGCGAGAGGTAGAGTGCAGGCAGGCAGAAACTTACAGCGACATCCATGCGCTCCTTGGCAACAGTCTCGAGGCTGCGCATGACGTTCTTTTCCATCTTTACGAGCTGGGAGAGTTTCTTGGCCAGATCGGGGCCGAAAGCGCCACCGGCATTGCGGCGGAGAGCATGGCCTGAAAACCCAGCTGTTAGCTTCCATTGTATGACACCAACCGAGAGGTGGTGCAATGATCAAGCTCGGCCGCATTGAGAATGACGCCACTCCCCGTGTTGACGACGACTTACCGAGGCTACTCTTGCCGAAGAAACGTCCTGATTTAGTGGAGGAAGGGGGAGGAGGAGGAGTCTGTTGGAGGCCATGATTAGCTTTCTGGAACCAGCAGACGAGAGGAATTAGCTTGGCTGGCGGGAGAGCATACCTGGAGCTGCGATGCAGTGGGAGCGCGCGACTGGCGCATAGAGTATGTGCGATGCATGTTGTAAAGGTGTGTGTGGTGAGTCTAGATTGGGTAGAAGCGAAGCTGCTGCAGACGAGAAGACAGTATATTGCGATGATGATGGATTGATGTGCAAATCACGAAGGTATCAACAGGGAAAGGATATCAAGAACAAGTCGCTGGGAGGGCGGATGGGGCGGCGCGGATGGTTTTAAGAAGAGTGGGTGGTGACTGGCGAGCTTGGTTGCTTGCAGGGAAGAGGAGCGTGGCCTTCTAGCGGCATCGTTTCTACGGCTACGTCATCCTTTTTCTTTCAAGTGGGTCTCCGACTCAACCCTGGTTTGGGGGGCAGAGGCAAAGAGGGAGTTTTGGCGGACATGTACAGGAATTGCGAACGCTAAAGTGGCCGCAACTTTGCATTTTCGGCACCTCCAGGCGCCAATGCAAGGCCCAAATACCCAATGCGCACCTCTTTACTCTCCACTGATCAGGCCGGCCAGCCCGCATTGCCCACTGTAGTGCCCACTAACCCGCCAACCCGCTTGGCCTTCATCAGCTCTCTTGTCCTCTGCTTCTCCTCACCTCCTCTACATACCTCTTATCAACCTTGCTGCGCTGGTGCGACGCATCCTCTCCTCTTCTCTAAAACCTTAGCTGCCCCAGTTGTTGTGGCTAATCCGGCCTCTCCCAGAATATTGGATCCTGCGCAGGGGGCGTGTCTGTTTCTGTCGATTGAGCCCAGAGGCGTCTCCGATCCCGTAGGTAGCCCTGCCAATACCGAGCCCTCGATATGCAGAAGGGGTCTTGTTTGCATATTGTACTTGGATGTTGCAGTCCGCAGGCTGAGGAGCATCACGACACGTCCATGTCGGCACCTCATTTACACACCAGCAACTGTCCATTTCCCTCCTCTCCGTACTCCATGCAATACCCCCCTCCCAAAGAAGAATAAACTATCACCACCACAGTCACCTCATCGTCGTCGCTCCCGTCCGTGGGGCGCCATCCATTCCGAATGCGGCAGGGTTGGCAAGCTCCGACAGCTCCAAGCCTTCGCTAGTCACCAGCCAAACAAGCCTACCACCACCTTAGTTTCAGACTAGGCCTGAGAATGACGAAACTTAAACCATGGCCAATTTCACATCATCTCCCGCGCCTTGGCCGCACCGTTCCCTGCTGTTCGCCGGTAGGGCCAGGGGTTCATCTGCCATGGCGTCCAAAATCAGGTTTTTTCGGGCCACGATTTGGACTGGGAGATGGTTGGGCAGGCGACCGTCGCCCAGTTGCTCCAGGTCCCCGAGTTGGCGACACGATATGTGCTTGCTCCTGATAGATTGCTCGCTACCTACCTACCTAGTTACCTACCCAACTACCTACTTAGTACTGCACAGCCTCCCCGGTACCTGGAGATCGCATGCCACAGTCGTCTCCATGCAACGTAGATTACACGAGCCTCTGCATGCGCATGTGGGTGACAAGGCGCCACACTTTGCAAGTTGACAGGTGTGCGTGGCTTGAGACCTGTTTGCCATGTAGGCTTTAAGCATACAATAAGCTCTCTGCCCATCGAACGAAGCTTACAAACTGTCAGCGTATCACCAGCCAATCAGCGACGGCAATCTTGAGGAAGAACAAAAATTCATTAGGGGCGCAGAATGCACGTTGGACGGTTGCCTTGGCAATGCCGAGTTAAGAGTCTCTTGCCTGCCAAAAGAGAAAAAAAAAAGACAGTACATCAAAGTTGGATCTCCGATGCGGGGAATCGAACCCCGGCCACTGCGGCACTCAAGATACATGAAAGCGCAGGATCCTAACCTCTAGACGACATCGGATGCACTAGTGGTTGTTGAAATCGTTGACGACTATTACTCATTGTATAGTGAGTCATGGATTGGATTTCTGTCGTAGCGCCATGTGCAGCGCCTGAACAACAAATTGGGCCTCCAGTAGATTCTTTTGAGTACAAGCAAGAAGTCAGCATGTAGTAAAAGTCGAAATCAAAAAGGGCAACCAGTCAATATAAGGTCCAGTGTTGAGGTGTCGACAATCTGGGTCCCAACTAGACATCTACTTACTAGGTCATAGAAGTCTTTCGTAGGTAATTTCCCATGATAACTGATGTTCCTCTTTGCAGTATTTCAGCTCTTACGGTCAAAGCAGGAATACGGTCTAGATTGATGTCACACTGACGGGGTTGAAAACGTTGCACAAACGTGCTGCCAAGATTCAGTCGCCTAACTGTGCAGCCTCGTAGTGTTAGACTCATGCATATGTTCAGTTCTCATATGCAGCATGTGATATCAGATTACACTAAACACATTACGGAATCGAATACTGGTGCCTCAGTGGAACGGTGGAATTTTCGAACGAAAGCCCGTGTTGGTAGATCTGTCGTCTTGTAGAGACGGAGCATTGCCTCTGCATCAAGATTGTCCCGTCTACTGCAAAGAAAGGCAAACGGTGGAAACCAGTCAAGAATAGGAGGGTTCAATTAATGTTGAACCTGAGTTAGGGATCAACAGAACAGAGTCCAGACATCAATCTCGAGGCGTTATCACTTACTTGTTGGTTTTTCCCCCATCAATGCATGCAGGGTAGGCCGGTGGAGTGCAAAATGGGTGAGGGCAGCCAAGTAAGTGGCTTGGTGACAGCAAGACCACAGGTACCTATCCGTAGTGCCGTACTAGACGCGCGCGATGGGCGTGGGCGTTTCGCGGATTTACCACCTCCAACAACGAAGGCTACTGCACCGCACAACATGATCGTGCCGCCTTGAAACCAACAACGTCACAGCCACGGAGCTTGCACAGTAAAGGAAGCACTCTAGATGCCACGCGCCTGCTGACGGTCTGCAGTAGGGGACGCTGGTTGTGGAACAGACGAGACTGACGTTTGCGCAATGTCGAAGCGTGACTATGACACCCTGTCACGAGCGTCGCATCCCGACGACTTCCACCTACGATCTCCTGCGCAGCCACAACCCTACACCTCCCTTTATTTTAACCCTATAAGCGCATATACCTGCCCATCAGCCGCAATCCCTCCACCCTCCTCCATACTTTTGGGCAATGGACCGCCATCCCACCTCGCCAGCAGCGGCACCAAAACATACGCCTCGAGATCTACCACACCGGCCAGCTCGGCATCTGATCTAAGCGATGTGCCGAAAAACATGAAAGAGATCAGTCCGCCACCCCTTAGACGATCCGAGGCCCGAACCGAGTCGCAAGTACCGATCGCAAGCAACGCTGCAACTTCCACAGGAGCCCAACCTCACAGCTTTCCGATGCAGATGCCACAATTCGCCGCGCCGCCATCGAGATCTTCTCGTGCTAGTATTGTAGAAAAGCAATGGGACAAGGCCGATCTGGCCAAGACTCTACAAGAGTTTCTGAAAGGGGTCCGACAAGACCACTCGCGACTAGTCGCGCATGCGATTGAGGCCCTCGAACCTACAGAATGGCGCGTTAGGAACGGCGCAGACCTCTTTCAGGGATTGGGGACTGGCGCCGTTCCACAGAAGAAAGGAGAAACTATGAGAATTAAATTCAAGGTGAGCTGAAAAATTCAAGGATCAGGTACACCAATACTGAGCTTAATATACAGCAACATTTGAAAACCCGCAAGGACACGCGAGAGGAACATTACGAGATCAAAGCGATCAAAACAGCGACAGAAAGGGTCCCAAGATACCGATTTCATCATGTCGAAATAAAGAAAAACGTCCTCACGCCAAATACGATGTTGACATTCGTCCCACACCTCCGTGACCTTGACAGCAGCGAGGAGCCAAAGTACAATCTATGGCTAAAGGAGCTCGAACAAATTGATACAGAATCGGGCTTTAAGCCGATGAACCGGGAGGAAAAGGTCATTCTCACGATCCAAACAGAGCGCGCAGCCACCGTATCCCTATATCTCGATACGTGGTTGGAGCAGCTTGGCATAGCCAACTGTACAAAGGCCACATTGGTCGCTCATATGGCTAGCCAGGAGCCTAGTGATAAAATGACGGCCCAGCAAAAGTCAGACATTATCCGATCCAGCCGCGAGGCGACTGATGGTAATTCGGCTAGCCAGGATGCGAGAAAGGCTGCGGCGTTATTTACAGACGCATTCAAACAGGTTTTCGATAACGATGACTTGCCACTGGCGAGTAGGATTGAGCTTCGAAGGAGTCTACTGCTCGAGGAGTCTGTCGACGGCGTTTTGGATCCAAAGGCTGCCGCAAAGGATGCAGGTACCGGAACGCAAGGAGATGTGTATAAGACGACTGAAGCGCATCTGGCCACTTATAGCATACTGGGCTGTCTCATTTGCCACAGTCATTCTTGCGACCACGGCGAGTATGACAAGGAAAACCTCAAGCAGACCTTTTCTTTGTCAGCTGTGATGCCGCTGTCCGACCTTCTCAAGCAACGACGACGAAAGCTGGCATTAGAGAGCGTCGGTACTAGCGTGAGTGAGCTCACTGAGCTGCCATGTCGCCGGGAATGCTACCTATCAACACCTCCAGTGAGCCAGATGCAGGAGTTGAGACCTTGGGCAGAGGAAGAGATGAGGCTTCTGAAATCGATATTCTTAACGCTCGACCAAAGCAAGCTGCAAAGAGACCCAATCTGTTTCGCTGCAGATATTTTGGATCGCAAATGTTGCGCCGTCTATATCAAGTTCAGGTCGCTGGCTGTCAAATTACCAGAAGCCACGCGCTTAGAACCACCGCGAGTCAAAGCACTGTCATGGTACGATAATCGTCGAAAAATCCTTATTGGGGACTGGCAGGACCACATAAAATCGCATGAGCACCAACGCCGTGAAATAATCGAACCGTGTTCGCACGAGGGTCCTTGTACTCAGAAGTGTCGTTGTGTTCAAATGGGCCTACTCTGCGAGAAGTGGTGTAGATGCACGGTAGATACGTGCTCATACAAATTTACTGGATGCCCATGCCGGGCTACGGGCAAGAGCTGCCAGGCCAAGCAAAAAGATAAACCATGCATCTGCGTACAACTCAACCGCGAATGCGACCCAGAGCTCTGTGGAACATGCGGTGCCTTGGAAAGAGCCGATCCGCATAATGCCAACGCTCATGTATTGCATGAAACTGGTTGCCAGAATTGCGAGCTCCAGCGGGGAGGCAGCAAGAAGCTTATCCTGGGTCAGAGCCAACTAGATGGGGTTGGATATGGATTGTTTACGGCGGAGGATATTGCTCAGGATGGTTTCGTGATTGAATATGTGGGTGAGCTCATTACTCATGACGAAGGTGTACGAAGAGAGGCTCGTCGCGGTGATGTGTTTGATGAAGAGTCTAACATCTCTTACGTCTTCACTCTGCTGGAGCATGAAGGCATCTGGGTCGATGCCGCAACTTATGGAAACCTCAGCCGCTATATCAACCATGCGACTGAACATGATCGCACCGGCTCTAATATCACACCACGAATTCTTTACGTTAACGGCGAGTTCAGAATCAAGTTTACGGCTTTGCGAGACATCCAAGCGGGTGAAGAGCTGTTTTTCAATTACGGCGAAAACTTTCCGAACCTCACCAAGAAGCTTCTTGACACTAAGACAGGCCAGAAGCCAGTGAAGCCAGGGCGACCACCACGATCGGCTGCCAGCACGGGCGTTGCGCGAAAGGCACCAAAGCCAGAGCAGAAGAAGATGGAGCGCAAAAAGCCTGGAGCAAGGCGAAGGAGGCGGCGGACAATTGTGAAAGACGACGACGACGATGACGATGATGATATGCAGTCAGCATACATTCCACCGCTAAACCGAGCAGTAAAACGCAAACGAGGGCTGGAAAGAACTAGTTCGGACCAAGACATGTATCGCACTCGCGAATCTATACCGCAGACGCAGTGGCAGGAATCAGCGGCAGAGGACGAGGACGGCTTGGTCGAGGAAGCAACACCCAACGGGGGCATTAGGACTAGGCGTATCCTGCGCGCCAGAGCATCGGAGACGCCGACCAAAGTTGACAAGGTCAAGGCAGCGGGCAGACGCGGTGGTGCACGGCCAGGCAGTGGACGGCCTAGGAAACATCCACGTCCCGTGCCGAAGCTAGTGCTCGAAATGGCCGAGCCTGCGTGGCGGCTGAAGGATCTCGCTACGGCATTGCCATGGCGTGACAGCTTGAGCGCATCCCCACAGACGATGCGCCAGGGACGAGCTGAACAAGATGAGTCTGACGAGGTTGGAGACAGCCAGGAGTGGTCTACGGCTGGCGAAGATGATGCGTCAAAGGCCTACAGGCAAGACTCGCGGGGTGAAGAGGAGGAGGATGAGGCCACGAGCGTGAACGGTGTGGAGGAAGAAGAGGAAGAAGAGGAAGAAGATGACCAAGATGTGGTGGTGCGAAAGCGAATGGACCGAGCCACCAGAAACAGGCGGCCGCCAGCCAAATTCCGCGGAGACGATTTTTGATACTTGTAGAGCAGGAAGCATGCAGACACATCATAACCGCAGTTCCGGGAATTAGCTAAGGTCCATTGGGATTCTGCCTTGGGAGTGTTGCGTCTAAAAAGTTGGAGGCCAGGGCTAGCTCAGGAACGGTTCAGCGGCTGGCCATTGGCGGCGCAGTAGTGGTGTATAATGCAGATCTACGAATCTACCTTGCAAATGAACAATATTCGCTGTGAATCATGGCCAAGAAATAATAGATGGCATCGTGAAGCCCGTTTCTGACTGTTGTTGGCCCCACTTACCTGCGATGCCACTGGCCAGCCACCGGCCAGCCACCGGAAAGCTTTAGCCACACTGCTACCAACCGACCCTGGCAGCGCTGAAAACGATGACGTCGCAAGGTCGTCAGTGTGAGGCGCGTCCCAGCAAAAAAGCAAGCTTGCACAGAGCTTCTAGACCCGATCCAGCGGGGGGGCAGAGCTCTGCAGTCACTTACTTGCATGGCCCCTCGGCTGTGGGAAAACTGGCCACCTTTTCAACAGCTTCCTTCTTTGTCACCACTTTACACATAACCTTGCCAAAGGAGATCATCGCAGCGACACTTTTTTGCTTCTACTCGCTCTTCTCTCCGTCGCTCTCAATCTCGCGCATTCGCGCCTAACTCGAACCCCCCCCTTCTCGCAACGTCACCATACGAAATCCCGCAAGCTTTCTAGTGCATCCAAGCGCAGGCAGACTCTAGTCACCATGACGCTCTACTACACTCTCGTGCGTTTGCTCCTGCGATGGCTGGATCCGGCTGTAATAATGACTGCCGACAAAAACAATGCACTGACTGCGCCATGCTAGGTATTCGCTCTTCTCATGTTTGAGATGGCGCTATTCATGTTCCTGATTGTTCCCCTGCCTCACAACGCTCGCCGTGCCATTCTTACGTATGCAGCTCTCACAATGAACACGCATGGGGCCACAGGCACTAATAACTGTCTAGTTTCGTCTCCGAGAACAAGACCATCCGTCAGATTCAGTACTGGCTCAAGATTACCTTTGTTTTCATCCTCGTCCTCTTCGTCGATTCTGTCAACCGTGTCTACCGTGTCCAGATGGAACTGGCTGAGTCTATGGAGCAGGCTGCTCGCGGCGGCGGAACGTATGTAGCTCCTCCCAGCCACATCAAGAAGGAATCCATTGGAACCTGAATACTAACTCGACTGCTTTCCCGCAGTGTCGTCCTCGGCCACGAGCGCACCGAAGTACAGGCCCGCAAGTTTTATGCCCAGCGCAACATGTACCTCTGCGGCTTCACCCTCTTCCTCTCGCTGATCCTCAACCGCACCTATGTGATGATCAAGGACATCATCCGCCTTGAGGAGCGCGTTCGCGCCTACGACAGCAACAAGAACTTGACCGTCAAGCCCTCGGATGAGGTGGCTGCCCTCAAGAAGCAGCTCGCCGCCAAGGAGCAGGACCTCCAGACGCTCAAGAAGCAGAGCGAGCAGCTGCACAAGAGCTACAACGACCTCGGTGACCAGTACGAGGCTACCCAGGCCAAGGAGGCCAAGAAGGACAAATAGATGTCTATTGCCGCTCCTGCAAACGTTGTTTGACTAGAGTTTGGCAGATGCGCCATGGAGCTCTTGTGCCAAAAGTGTGGGCGAAACAAAAAAAAAGATGAAAAGAGGCGCTGACGCAAAGGAGAAAGGGATTGTTTGATGTTTTGTTGCTCAGGAGCAAGGCGCCTGCAATTGCATGAAATGATAGTTTTACGTTAGCCTCGCGAATTATCTGTTTTACTTTTTGACTCGTTTTGACTGTCTTGTGCCTGCTGCTTGCTCGTCGTCGTTGCCTTTTGTATGCTTTCTCTTTGTCGACGCCTTTTTCACACTACTGATATTTTTTACCTTCTTTTCTGTAACTTTTGCCGTCTTTGCCATCGTTTCGGTCTCTGCCGTCTTTTTACTCTTCTTGTCCTTGGCAGGCTTGGGAGTGTTTGGCTCTGCCTCTGCCTTTTCATCCGACTCGGCACCCTCGGGTCCATTGCGCTTAAACAGCACATATGCCACCTTTTCCACATCTGTCGCGCTCACGCGCAGCCTCTGGACCAGCGATTCCATGTTTTGGCGCAGCATCTCGTACTCTCTATTACTATACTTTAGCTTCGTCACCTTGCCGTCCCCGCACAGCCAGTAAAACGCCTCGTCCGAGAAGAAGATGACGCGCGTTGGGTCGTGCACGCTCAACAAGAGCGACGCTGTAGCGGGGCCGATGCCGCGGAGCTTGGAGAGGCCGGTGAGCGCCGCGGCGACGGCGGCGGCGGAGGGAGAGGAGGAAGAGGAAGATGAAGAGGAAGAGGACGCGTCTGCGCTGCTGCTGCGGTAGTTTTTGATGATGGCGGCAATGGTGCGCCGCGCCGCGGTGGCGTTGTTGGATGAGGCGAGGCCCATGAGCATGGGACGAAACTTGCCGTGGCGCAGCTTCCACTCCACGAGGAGCTTGACGTCCTCGAGCGTCATCTCCTTGGGGGGCAATGCGCCAGCGGCAAAGTTGGCGATGGCCGTGCCGTAGCGGTACTGGTCGAGCTGCTGCAGAGTTTTCTGGCCGGGTTTGGCTGAGGAATTTGTCAGCGGGGGGGCGTTTTGAATAAGAAGAAAAAAAAATAGTCAGATTTTGAAGAGGGGAGAATTTTCGTGAAAAGCGTACATCCTTTTGTCTGGGAGATTTTTTCAACCAGAGATGGGTATTCATCGAGGAGGGCTGTAAACTCGTCGTGAGTTATCGCGTCTGGCGCGGGCACATCAGTGGGCGCCATTTGCGGTCGGTAAAGGAGCTCTTTTGCTCAGTAATGCAGAAATTTTGCTTTCAAGACGTGGCTCTATATGGATAATGAAAATGATGATGTGGGAGCTGTCGAGCGCGGCTTGGAGCCTTTCGGAGGCGGATGCTTGTGAGTCAGATGTAGTAGTGGATGGATGGATGACTGAGGCGCGCGTGAAGCGTGTCTGCCTGTTTGCAGAGTCGGCGGTCGTGGTGGACTGGGGCTGACACATGTTGGCCATCAATCTCGGCCAGGCACCCCCAGTTCGTCAACGGTGTTGATCCTCCTTCAATAAAGGCCTGGATTTTTTTACCCTCTCAAGATAGGTATTTGGGTTTTCATACTTTTAAAGGGAACCAGAAAACACTGACTGTGACTTCCGACTTGTGAGACAGAACATGGCGCTGAACCAGCCAGTTCTAGCGGCAAAACAACATGTAAAAGAGCGGCGTATAATTCATCTCATGTGCTGTCTTTAGGTGCAACCATGTATACATGAGGCGTTTGATGAAGCACAGGGCAATCTTTCCACGCCAGTGTATTGGCGCAAAGTTACTGAGCTGGCCGAGATCAGGTAGGCGTATAGATTTGGACTGCGCGCATCTTTGATCTGGCCGGCTTGATCGGGCGGCTGCAAGAATCTGTTGATACGTTGCAGCTGCAAGGAAAGACAAACTAGGCCTGATGATATACAACTAATTTTTTTTTTTTTTTTTGTGTTTGGGTGATTCGGCACTCGCTCTGACGAGGTTTGTGACGGCTGCTGCCACCTTGCCACCGTCACATTAACTACAGCCACGATTGATCACGAATTATCCATTCCGTACGAGTGAAAAAATTGCAAAAAGACAAGGAACAAATTTAATTTTGAAATTAATTCAGTGGTCTTGGCTCATCAATCCCCTCTGACACTCGTTGGCCTGTGATTCAGTGCCCTAAATGTAAGGCCACTAGTTTATACTTACTGTACTCTGTAGTTCAGCCATCATCAGCCTGACCAGGTCATGGTCTACCATCCGATAACACCTCATTCAAACCGAGAGAGAGCCGTGCTATACCGCCGGATTGGCTCCCACAAGGCACAGGCTACACGATGATGCTTCGAGGCGTGAGACATGTCCCCTAATACCACCAGGAATCCTAGCGACTCCTCCCGCCAGCGCAGGGCTCATTTGAAATCTAGAAAGGGCTGCATGAGATGCAAGGGGCTGAGGAAAAAGGTGGGAAATCTTTCAATTACAAGTCGCTCGCGTTTCTAATTGACAATTCGATCAGTGTGATGAGGAAAAGCCCAAATGTTCGCGCTGCTTGAAGCAGAATGTCAATTGTGAATATGTGACTGCTGCAGACGCCAGTGATGAAGCAGCCACTGGCAGCGTCTCTGAGGGACATGGACGGCAGAGGCCTCGTGACCCAGGCTTGGAAATGACAGACTCGACATCTACTGATCCAATCTCAGCGAATGCTGGCATTCATGACGCTGATGGTTCCGCCGTTCCGCCAACCGTTGACAGCGGCCGCGTGCAAAGCCTGCCCATGCTGAGTGCCTGCGAGCTGGAGCTCTTCAGCCACTACATTACACACACCAGCCGAGTGATTCCACACGGCAAGGAAGACATGTTCCCACTGCAAATCGGCATGCCCAACTTGGCGTTTACGAACCCGGCCGTCATGCACTCCATCCTCGCCCTGGCCGCGTCCTGCAAGTGCCATGATATGATGGGGAGCTGGGCCACGTCGCCCGCTAAGCTCGAGGATATTTGTGACTTGCTGAGACTGGCGGACCGTCACCACCAGACCTCGCTGGACCAGTTGCAAAACGACATCAAGGAGAGGCAGTTCCAAGCCGTCTTACCCAACGCCGCTTTAATGGTGCTGTACGCCCTCTCGTGCCACTACGTGCGCGTGCTGCTGGCCAGACGGGCCAAGCAGTTGCGAATCTTGCTTTCCAACGACGTGCTGCCCTTTCAATCGCAGTGGATCACGTCCATACGCGCGGCGCACGTAGCATTTGTTGGGCTTTTGCAGCCCGGGCTGCGCTCCAACGGTAGACCTGCTTCACCACGTTCCGATGCAAGGGCGGAGGAGGAAGAGGTCGAGCTGCTTGCATCGCCGTCTGGCCCACCAGAGGGCGATCAGAGCACATACACGTCTGAAGACGGTCCTGCAGAAGAGACAAGACGCCTGTTGCTGCCCATTATTTCCACCACATACGAAGCCGCCCTGGCGAAACTGAGAGCCCGAAATGGGAAGCTCGAGCTCAGCTCGGAGCCACTCGACGACAAATTAGAGGCATGCGGCACAGCTCTCGTGCTCCTCGAAGAGCTCTTCCACACCGTCATGGGCAATGAAGCTTTCCACACTCTACCGCGAAAACCCCATGATTTCGGGGCGCTGGAGGATGTTCCCGCGTGGCTGGTGCGGTATCTGGCGCGCGTGACGTCCGCGACGCCTTCCAAGCTGTGGCGGCGACGCATCATGGCGTTTTTGAACCAGGTCCCGTTTGACTTTCTCCGTCTCGTGCAGCGGGCGCTCGACTGCATGCCGGTCGAGGAGAGTCCGGCGCAGTCGCGCGGCGCCGATGACGACGACGAGGAGCCGCTGCCGCTCGAGGCGGCGCACAAGCCCGCCATGGACATTTTCGCGCACTGGCTGGTGCTGGTGATGCTCCTGGACGGTGTGTGGTGGATCGGCGACATTGGACACTGGGAGCTGGGCCGCATCATTCGCTTCATAGAGACGCAGGGCTTTGTGCTTGACCTGGCCGAGGGCGAGACGTGGTGGCCGGAAACAATGTGCGCGATCAAGTCCACTCTGGGCAGTGCAGCCTGAATGACTCCCATCAGCGACAAGATAGATGATCTACCTTCCCTGTGAGTCCATAATGTGCGGTTGCGAGCAAAGCGATGGACGGCTGATGCTGAGTTGAAGAATGACAAATGAAAAGCCACTGAAGAAATTTGTCGCATGGGTTGATCGTGCGATACGCCCGGAATACGCCAGCGGGGCGGCAAATACGACAGCGCTGACGGTGAATACGCCAAGTCGCCTAACAACGGCGTATTGAGCAGGCAGGCATACCATTTTGCATGCACAGCCTTTTCAATTAATGGATCTCTTTGATCTAGCTAAAGTATGATTTCGGCTGTGAAGACGCTTGCCTAGAATGTGTCCAGTAATGGTAAGTATCGACTGTTATTTGGAATATTTACGCTTTGCTCTCGTCTGCTGAAGAGCGCTGCGATGGCTTGCCATGACTGTGCCGCTTACTGACTATTGTTAGAAATATTTTTTGTAATGAATATGACTCTGATAATTTCAAATCAATTATATATCTGGCGAATATATAAGGATGCTGGGAACCCGACAGTTTCGAAAACACACAGATACACCATTATCACACATCCCATATTAAAGCACCTTGCGATACCAAACACCTTTTCACAGTTCATCCCTTAGTCAAAAAAGTTACCATGATATTCAACGCCATCTCCATTATTGCAGCCGTTCTGGCCATGTCTCCTACTGCAGTTTCTGCGCCGACTAATCAGACGAAGCCAGGCGCTGAACTCAGCAAAGCCGCTCGTCTGCGCATGGCTGATAGGCACGTATTGAATCTCACATGAGCACCTGAAATGAATTTGGTGACTAACTCGACCTCGACGTTAAAGTTTTGCGGAGCGATACAGTATCTTGGCTGATGACAAGGACTTTGTCTTTGATCTTGGCCAGAACGGCTTCCAGTCCATTGCGAACCGCCAGACGTTTCCCGCCATGGTCGGCACAGGCACCAGCATCGCAGCCGCCAGGTTTCCCGGTACGTCTTTTTTTTTTTTTCGAAAATGAAACATTTTGTCTGCCTTCTAGATGCAATCTGCCTCCTGACGTTTTTTTCCACAGGTTGCTCCATCAGCAAGCTGCACATTCACCCCCGCGCCGCCGAGATGCTCGTCCTCCTCTCCGGGCGGCTCGTCACCGAGACAATCCCAGAGCTCGGCGCCGCCGCCGCCGCCGGAGCTGCTGACGGGCAGACGGTGCAGCAGCAGCAGCAGCGCGTCATCCGCAACGAGCTGGCGCCCAACACGCTGACCGTCTTTGACCAGGGCGCGCTGCACACGCAAATCAACCCAGAGTGCGACGACGCCACCGCGCTGACCGTCTTCTCGGCCGAGGACGGCGGCTTCGGCTTCGTCGCCGACCAGGCGTTTGCGCTGCCCGACGACGTCATTGCCACGCAGCTGGGCGACGCCATCTCGGGCGCGGACATTGACAGGATTCGCGCGGCGCTGCCGGCGGGCGTGGCGGCGCAGATTGATGCGTGTGTGGAGAAGTGCAAGATTGAAAAGCGGCATTTCTAAGGTGGAAAGTCGACGAGACTTGAAAGGGAATGCGGAGTAGATGGTGTACTTGTCAGAGGGTTGCAGGCTGAAGTTTGGATGCTGTCCGCAAGACGTGGAACACGATGCGGCTGCTAAACAGTATGGAATGAAGGTGCCCTGTCATCACGACCAACGCGTGAATGATTAGGTGTTGTGCAAACAAATGCCATCTTAATACACATATCTAAACCCTTTAATTTCCTTGTCCGTCCTGTCCATCATTGCCATCAAGGCTTGCGTCTGCACAATGTCTTCATCGGCTAGCTCGGTACTATTTTCGTGTCGATGACGACTGCGGTTCACCCACATGAGATAGAACCGCATCAAAAGGCATAGTATAAAGCAGGCTGTCTGACATATGATGAGAGCGACAAAGCCAGAACTATATGATGGCGCTTCCCGCTCAAAGAACAGCTGAGGACCAATAATGTTGCCTGCGCAAAACGCAGTAAAAGTCTACATCAACATTAGAAAAGGAGGTGGTTCTTTGGTGGCCAAGTTTGAATATCGACTTACCAAGGCATTGACGGTTGTCTTCTTGGTAAATCCGCCAATATTTCCAGACACCATGGACATGAGCAAGGGAAAGGACGCCGAGTTTGCACCCATCAAACAGGTGCCTGCATATTGACCCCATTTGTTTTCTTCAGGCATTTGCCGAACGAGGGCAGCGCCTACGAGGGCGGTGGCAAAGGTGAGCATCATCCAGTATGTTCGAGTATTTTTGAGGTAGCTGCTGCCTCCTGTGCACAGGATAACGAGAGCAAGCTGAACCAGATATGGGACACATTGAAGAAGAAGAGTGTCAAATGTGCTAAATCCGACGCCTCGAAGAATAATGGAGCGAAACTACTGCAAGGTTAGATTTGTTGCGCGCGTCGAGGCTGTATCTGCTTACCGTAGTGACTCCGCCATTGGGAATATTGGACGAAAAATGGATGAGAACCAAGAACCAGGTTTTCGGGTCGAGCAGCGCCTCACGGACTTGGTTCCATTTGAGCTCGTCGTTTTTTATACCAGTCAAGTTCTCCTGAACTCGAATGACGACCTTTTCCCGGTCGGCCTTGCTAAAGAACCAGGCATTGGATGGCTCATCTGGAAGAAGAAAGACGTTGGCGCACGACCAAGCAATAGTTATACTACCCAGGATGAGAAATGAAGCCTTTTGAAAAAAAAGTTGTCAGGGCGTGATTGGTCAATCAATTGGGGTGGGTTGGAAGGAGGGATGAACAAAAACAAACCTTCCAAGGCGCAATGCTGCTCATATGGCCGATGCCGTAATTCAGCAACCCGCCGAATAAGCCGGCCGAGGTGTTGCCAAGAAACCAAGCCGCATGACGGAGAGGCTGCTCGGATTTCTTGTAAAACATGGAAATGATGATTGTCAGACCCGGTGCAATGGCCGACTCGGCGACGCCGAGGAAAAAGCGTGTGGCGAGGAGACTGGCCGCATCATGACAGACGGCCGTGAGCATCAGTATAGAGCCCCATACAAGACTTTGCGCAAAAGGTCAGCCGGGAAAAGTTGCAGGGATGGAGAAAGTCAAGGCCGTGAAACTAACATGGACGCAGTGATTGCCTTGCCAACTCTCCAGCGAATCATTACGACTCCGGCAGGGTACGAGGCGACGATGTAACCAAAGTAGTATATGCTACTGGACCAGGAGTAGTCTGAGCCAGAGAGACCAAGGTCGTGACGAAGGCCCAGAATGGCTGTCGAGCCGAGTGCCGACTTGTCGAGGTATTGAAAAAAATAACTAGTTGCCATGATGGGGAGCAGGCTGATGGAATTAGCGAAACCTCTATGAACTGACGATTCTCTCATGTTCTTTTTTTTTTTTTTTTTTTTTTGCCTACCATAGATCCAGCTTACGCATGATACGTCTGTCCTCCTCTGGTGACAGGTGATGAGTATCAGTGTCTGCCACAACTTTGAGATTCTCAATAGTGGTGACATTGCCCTCGCTCTCTTCAATGTTATGACCCATCTCTTTTTTACAGTGATGAATGAATTTGCAAACGCTCAGAGATTCGGTAACACTTCGTGATTGCAAATGGTTGGCTGAGAGTAGATCCAACAACGGGGGGGGGGGGGGGAAAGTGATGGGACCCTTGTTGAAACTTGAGAGACGAATGCCGAGAGTCGGCCGCAATGAACTTGGTTGATTTCCCCAAACTCCCCACTTACATTGTTCTGCACAATTTCAATATAGACAAGGAGAAGTGAGGGGCGATCATTGGAGTATATTGTTGGGATTTGATTGAAAAAGCCCCCGCTGCAGATTCTGGGGTACATTGCGGGGAAAGCTGAGACGAGGCTCGGGCAACTAGCCCTTGTCCAATATTTGCGTATTCGGAATCCAAAATCGAAAGATGTTGTTCAAAATGGCCAGCTAGCCTGATCTGGGGCCATGCAGCTCTGGATGTTCCTGAACGTGGGGTCGAACATGTCTACACGGTAGGCCGACTGCTTTCTGCGGTCAATTTAGTAGTTTTCAAAGAGGCGCCCGTGTACCTTTTACTCTCTCCTGACTTTGCATTGACCAAAGTATCTATTGTACGGAATACACCCAAACATCTTTCAGCCTGCTGAAATGTTCACTGGCATCGAAACGCCCTACGAGGTACATATGCAACACGCAACATGAACTAAAAATGAGGCTTTGCTGGCGCTAACCGCCGGATCCCGCAGATTGGCTCTCACTATGAAAGCCAAGCCAGCCAAGAGATTTGTGCTTGGCAGGTGTCGAATCTTATACCTGGTATTTCCAGAGAAAAAAAAAAAAGCAAGATGAGCTACAAGTGAAGCATACGATAGAATCAACAAGGAGGAAGCACAGATTGTCTTGGCTTATACTGTCTTTCTCTATCATCATGATTAAATCACGACCCTTGTATCAAATATGTTTAATCTAATTTGACAATACTCTGCAAAGCTGCTGCCATGTATGTACTGCTCAAATATTCCGCTCCTCTTCCTTGCACTCCTTGTCAGTCTCTTTCGGTCTGGGAAGCCCCTCCTGAGAGGGATAGTCAGTGTCTGCGACATGAAAAATGAGCACCCAGACGACACCAATGATACCAAGTACAAAAAAGCTATGATACTAGTCAGTGACTGCACATTACCGCTCGTGCAACTTTACTAAACTCACGAAAGCTGCAGGCTCGCCTGTCTAATGAATGGAACCCGCTCCCCGGCCAAGAGAAACGAAACCATCATTCCAAAGGTCGAGTAGAATTTAAACATTCCCGCCACTCGTGCCAGTTTTGCCGGGTCAACCGCCGTCGACGACAAGTTGTATTCGATACACATCTGGTAGCCCGCATACGTGGCGCCGAACAAGAGGAAGCACGCCATGATGCCGCCGAATTCGGGGTCCGTCCAGTCAAAGGGATCCGAGACTCGACGGGACTCGACGCGGTGTACCTCTAACCAGCTCATGAGGCCTACGCATCCGGCTATGGCGACGGTGCCCATGACTGCGATGCCGAATAGGCCGCGGTGACGACGGGACCGGACGAAGCGGCCGTCGAGGATGCAGATGAGCAAGCCGGGGATTAGTATTTGGATAGTCTGGTAAGCAAAATTGTTGACGGATCGGGTTCTCAAATTGAAGAAGCGACCTTTTCGGGAGTTAATTGTATGATTTCAGATTTTCTTTTGAGAAGGGGGAGTGAACAAACCATTGACACTGCTGACAAGTGCCAGACCCATCTCACAGCCAAGTTGTGCCGGTGCCAGAATGAGATATTTGCGTGTTGTCATTAGTTTGACTGTTTCCTTGACTTCATACCAGACTTTGGAGTCTCTCGAGGCCGCAATGTGCGAGCCGTCTTTCCGCACCACATCTTTCGGGTGCACGATAAAGACCATGGCGATGAAGAATGCACTTGCATGCAACACGATAAAGACAATGTATACGGCGTCTGACACACCGACTGGATGAGTCTGATGAATATTCAAGCTCAGCGAGATGGAGCTTCCAACCATGGCGCCAAAGCTCCGCAGCATCCATTGAACGCTAATGTACTGATTTCTCTTGGTCAGCCCCCCCCTTCCCCCCCATTGCACACAATACTTTGGGGATCTGTCTGGCACTTACAAGAGCCTTGTCCTTTTCTTGAGCATACGCAAACTGAACAAACGCGGCCGTCGACCACAAGAAGCCACCAGTGAGCCCCAGCACGGCTCCGCCAAGAAGAGGAAACCAAGAGTGCCCGGTCCGGTCATAGTACCAGAGGCCGCCGACGTACAACGGATAGCCCAGGGAGCCCATCATGAGGCACGTCTTTGGCCTGAGCACGTTGACGAGCACGCCGCCAAAGAAGCCGACGAGGGAAAAGAGGCCGTAGAGAATGGCATTGGTCTTGTTGGCCACGTCTGCCGAGGATGGATGCCCGCCACCGGCACCGAGACCCGTCAGGGCCGTGTAGATGCCGGGCAGACAGAACAGCAAGCTAAAAGGGCCAGAATGTCAGTCATGTTTATAAGTTTTAAACTCAATTGTACTTTTTTGAAACATACACGCCCACGACAAAGTTTTGACTAAATGGCCGCGCGATATAGGCGCGCACCTCCATGTCGGCTATGGACAGCAGCCGGGCGAGCTGGCTAGTTACTCAAGCCGATTCCGGTACCCGTTGGCCGAGCATTGGCAACCAACCCGTTACAGGTGGAAGAAGACGTGGGCCTACGCCGTTTTTGCATACGGCGCTGGGTTGGAGTTGAATACAAGGGCCGGGCGAAAGAAGATGAGGGTAGAATTGAAAACTAGTTTAGTCACGTCATATCTATAGGTAGTTTTGGAAACGGTGGCTAGCCTGGTGACACTCCACAAGTCAAACCAGACAGATAACAAGTTGATTTGTAAATAAATTGTATAGTACGCATATCTACCCCGCATTATTGAAATGCCAAACATTGTAAAGTAGTTGCAGGCAGGTTCGTTTTTACTGGCGTTGGAGTCGGCACCTGTAGTATAAATATGGCAACTCGTTGCCAGGCAGACAAGACACGACCGTATGAGAACCGCAGGTTGTCGCCAACTTTTTGACGGCCATGGCGGGATCCCTAGCTCACTCCTTCCTTTGTTGAATGCAGTAATGCCGACTTATCCGTCTGCCCCTCTTTATTGCGTCCTGGAGATGGCTGCCTATACACAGATGAAGAGAAGAATTGGGGCTTCAGGAAATGAAAAGACATGTTTTCTTGTCAGTTCGTGTCCATTTTGGCCATCATCACAAGCCGTGACCGATTATTCATGCCATCAAACAGAAACAAGTTCAGCCCCTACGTACTAGAATCGAAGCATCCAAAAGAGGCAGGCAGGCAGGCGGGCGCTGAAGAACGCTCCATACCGATTCTCCAAACAGACAAGGCTGCAGATGCTGGCAAATGGTTCGCCAATTTGTATTATATGATACTTTTATAGCTCCGCACGAAGGGCAGAGAACTTGCTCGTGGCTGCAATAACTAACCTCGTTAACGATGCTGACCTGGGGTGCGCCGTGAATTCACCATACACGCATTTCGTTTTATATCGCTGCCCAAAAACAAAAAAAAAAAGTTCAAGTCAGGAAAAAGCTGTTGAAAAAAAAAAAAAATGACGAAAAATCTAAAACGAAAACAGTCACAAGAGCTGCGAGAGAGCGACGACGGTGCTACCCAGCCTGAGCCGCTCATCGCCCGTGAAATCACACCCCGAGACGACAAGCAGCCTTCGCAACTCGCTCGTCTCCCTCACGAGCTTCTTGTTCAAGTACTCTACCCGCTTCTTGTCCACGATGAGCCGCTCTTGCTACTTCCCAAGGCGCGGTTTGTCCCAGTCAAAAAGTCGTCCACCACCCGCGGCAGTGCTGCCTGGTCGCCGTTGGTCAGCATCCTCCTCGCCTGCCGCGCCATGTACTTTGCGGGCATCCAAATGTTTTACGGTCGCAACACGCTGCGCTTTGTCGAGGCGCTTCACTTTCGAAAGCTCGTCGAGACAAGACTGGGCTACGACCAGCGCTGCAGCGTCACCTCTATTCGGCTTGATGTCGCCTGGCAAAAGAGGGGACGGAGCAGCAGCAGCAGCAGGAGCTCGGCTTGGCGACTTTTGCATGAATGCGATGTATGTGCAGAGTGGAGGGATGTGCTTGATCAACTTCCGAATTTGATCAAGATTGTCGTGAGGAATGTGACGGATTTTAAAAAGGCGGAATTGATGGCGCAGGTGGATATCAAGGCCTTTGAGGCGAAAATGAGGGAGGAGATTGGGCCAGGAAATGTAGGATTGCTGACGTTTGAATGGCCGACAGGTGCTTCCGATGCTGAATAGTAGATGAAAACTACCAAGGATGACGGTACAGGCCAATTTGCTGGCGATAGCGTGAAGAAGAGAATCGTCCGCAAAGGTCGAAAGTACATTTGAGAACCCATGATAGAGCCTGCCCTGCAAGATGGATTGTTGTAAAGCAGGAAGCAATGGCATTGTCATCTATAGAATACATTCCATCACCAACGCTAGAAAATAAAGTGCTGTTGCTCCAGGGCAAGCCGTGTAGATGCTTCAGCCTTGCATTCAACATCGATTTTTCATGTGCCTGCAAGATTAGTTGAGTTGGAGTTTATTTATAAACTTGATAGCAAACAGTTATACGACGTCATAATGCCCAGTCTGCTTGCATATTAATGGTTTGGTGCAGGTACCCGATCTCCAGAGCCGACTACCTGAATAGGCAACTATACCAAGGATACCAGGGATAGATAGCGTGGCGTCAGATCCGGGAACAAGCCGTGTCATACCATCGCTGCCACAATGGGACTTTTTAATTGAAGGGCAGGTGAGACACGATGCAATTTAGATTATGCAGTCCTCTGCATTTTCAGTCTACATAGTTTTTTTCTAGTGAAGAAATCGGCGCAAGATCGTCGCACGCACCTCGTCTTGGAAGCCCGATTTGTTAGCGGCCGCGGACTTTTCCGAGCTCCAGCCAACCAAAAGCCTCAGCCGGGCCACTGACAATCCCCGCAATTTTTTTTTTCCTTTTCCTGTCCCCTCGCCTCGCACTTGAAACCTATCTCAAAGATACCTGCGGATAGACACTTCACAAACCCTGTATCTCGGAGAACAAATATTCACAATGGGCAACGTAAGTCACCATCTTCTCGCCGCACCCCCGTCGCGTACTATACCCTCGCCACGGCGCTCTAGTTCTAACCAGGAAAATTTTACCAGGGAGCCAAAGCACAGCAGAAGCGCGAGCGCAACGCCAAGGACAAGGCCGGCGCGGCCAAGTCGCAGCTCAAGGTGGTATGTAGACCTCTTTTTCTTTTT